TGGCGCGCGCCCCGTGGATCTGCAACAGATCCGTCAGCGGTTGGATCTGGTCATTGCACATCAAGTACAAACGATCCCACATATCGGTGGCGACGGTTTTGAATGGTCGTGGTTCGATGGGGACAAACTCCGACGCCTTGATCTGCTCAAAGTAATACTTGCTGTTGGTTTTGCCGGTGATCAACATCATATGCTCCTCGTGATGGATCAAGTGGCAATATTTGCCACCCTTTCCAGCTATTCTCGGAATGTGTGTCACGTATGCTTTATTGTCTTTGGACAGATTGCCGTTTTCATCGAAGCGATGGATACACAGTTGCACCTGACCCCAATCGAGTTTCGATTTAATCTTGGTTTCCAATTCCTCAATGGTAATACCGTCGGAATTGATATCTCGACCGAGCCAGTTGGTGGCGAACACTTCTTTCGACGGCAACGGGGGCAAACCATTTTTCTTTGCAAACTCATTCAGACACCAATACACGCACCATCCGGGATCTTGCGGGGACCACACGAATTTGTTGTTCGACTTCAGCGTGCCGGACGCACGATCGGGGCGCAGTGGGACGACTTCGAAATTGATAGTCAGCTCTTCCGCGAAAATGACTTCCGCGTCCGAATTGCGACCCACGTTGAGGATTTGGCGCTCAATGTCAGCAAACCATTCTTGAACAAACGCTCGGATCGATTCGGGGCTGGAATTTTGGCGGAAATTGCGGGCAAATCCATTCAGTGTGTTGAACATCGAACTCATCTCGCCGGAAAAAGTTTCAATATCACCACGCGGGTTGATCTTGTGCGGATGGTTGGCCGGGAATTGTCGGACGAGACTTTGCAACACCGCGGTAACCCCATCCACAGTTCGAGGAACGCCACGATACATGTACCGAGTTGCCTCTCGCATCGGAGTGACGGCCACTGGAGTTCGCCACGCTTCCGCGGTCGGAGCCGGAGCTGGAGCTGGAGCGGGAGCCCTGGATCGATGCTGACGAACAACTGGTGGCGGAACGACCGGTTGAGGAACTGGCGCCGGTCTTTGAGCTGGACGCAGTGGAGCTGGACGCGGTGGCGCTGGTTGGGGAACTGGTGCCGGGCGTTGGGCTGGACGCGGTGGAGCTGGAACTGGGCGTCCATTGCGTCGAACAAAAAGCGCCTCCAGTTGTTCGTTCGTCATCGAATCAAGCTGAGCCATTTGGATCTCATCCGCCCGGCGTTGCTCTAAAATTTCAAGCACTCGAGCAGAGATCGGATCATTAAGAATGGGATTGTTTCTCGTATTACCTTGACCTCGATTGCGATTGCCACCATTGTTTCTCGTATTACCTTGACCTCGATTGCGATTGCCACCATTGTTTCTCGTATTACCTCGACCTCTGTCCGCCATGACTTTTTTTTATAGTGATTGAAATTTGTTTAAACAAATTTCAATTTTGTGCGTTACTTATTTAGAAACTCTTTCGACGCTTCGACCAAGAGTTTTTCCAGCTCTGCGCGACACACGTCGGGATAATGACGAAGCATGTGCAAGTTCTTATATTTTTTGCACAATTGGTAGTACTGCGCGTTGTACTCCTTTTGAGTCGGTTTCGGCTTGGGTGAAACTTTCTCGACAGAAGTAGATTTGGGTGATTCGTCGCCACGATTGTCCGCCATTTGTATTTTTTTAAAAGATGCGTAATTTGTTTAAACTAATTTCAATTTCTGTCAAACACAAAAATTCCGACTTCTAAGAAAATTGAAAATAGTTTAAATAAATTTCAATTGGATAAAAAAATGAACACCGAGGTTTTCACTTCCATCTCACTCGCCGAAAGCACCCCAATGGGCCAATTGACCAACATATTTTTTGCACAATTGGTAGTACTGCGCGTTGTACTCCTTTTGAGTCGGTTTCGGCTTGGGTGAAACTTTCTCGACAGAAGTAGATTTGGGTGATTCGTCGCCACGATTGTCCGCCATTTGTATTTTTTTAAAAGATGCGTAATTTGTTTAAACTAATTTCAATTTCTGTCAAACACAAAAATTCCGACTTCTAAGAAAATTGAAAATAGTTTAAATAAATTTCAATTGGATAAAAAAATGAACACCGAGGTTTTCACTTCCATCTCACTCGCCGAAAGCACCCCAATGGGCCAATTGACCAACAACTCTGCCAGTAAATTGCTCCTGGAACTATTCGAACAATTGAATCTGGGGCTGAAGTTTTCCAATGGCCAATTGTATTGGTGGTACGAGAGAGAGTTGCTATGGACCGAATACACAAAGCCTCAACTGACGAACGCTGTGATGAGACTGCTGGTCGATTACTACACGGCTCATTACAATGATTTTATGTCGAACGTTGATCAGAATATGACTGAACTCCAGCGAAAATCGGTCAATGCCGAGTCCAAGAAATTGCAAGAGTATGTCGCGACGGTGGGTGGCGCCAGATTTGTCACCGATACCGTGAATATCTTGATGGGAGACCCTAAAGTCACCGATGATCCTGGTGACAAACCATTTTACGACCGTCTGAATTCAAACAAGATAATCGACGAGAACGGGGCTCTGTGGTTTATGTTGCCCATCAAAGGTGGCGAATTGGTTTTGGTCAATGGCACCGGTTGGACCCATCGAAAACGGGTGCGCACCGACTACATGTCACACTTTGCCAATATCGATCTTCCAGATGATGATTTCGACCGTTGCACGGAGTTGAGAGAATTCACTTCTCAATGGATGTGCAAAAACGAAGCCATGACCGACTTTCTGTTGGCTTTGGGAGGAATGGCACTGTTTGGCTATCGTGATGAACAACGGTTTTGGATTATTGTCGGCAAAGGTGCTGGCGGTAAAAGTGCATATATCGAATTATTGGAAAAAATGCTCAGTAATCGCTTTTGCGCCAAGGGAAACAAAGATCTCATCATTCGAAAATCAAAAGATGCCCACACCGAATCGTTAAATAAATTGATGGGCAAGCGCGCAGTTGTGTGGAGTGAATCGTCCCAGCAAGTATCTCTCAACGAATCATTCGTCAAGGAAATGACTGGTGATCCAACCATGGCAGTTCGAGGTCTTTACGAGAAAGAAGTCGATCGTAAAGTGACTTTCCTCCCAATTCTTGCCACTAATTTCGTCCCCAATGTGACATTTGATGATGCAATTTGGCGTCGATTGGTGGTAGTTCGATTCGATGCGAAATTCTACGAGGAGAGTGCTTACAATGATGTGCTGAAAAATATTGAAGATGAGGAACAAAACCCCCCTCCGCCATCCGCGACAGACGACGACGACAAACCCAAGTTGATCATCAAACCACGCGACCGTACGTTCAAACGCGATAAAAATTTCGGAGATAAAATCCATGGAGAGACGCGACCGTACGTTCAAACGCGATAAAAATTTCGGAGATAAAATCCATGGAGAGAAATATCTGTCGTGCTGGTTTCATTTGTTTATCGATGCGTTGCAAAAGGTCGTATTGTCACGCAATGAAATGAAAATTCCTGACAAAGTTGTTGAAGATTCATTAGAATTGAAAACGAAAACATCAGACAGTGATCAAGTCCAGCAATTTATCAGCCGATATATTATCGATCAAAGCAGAAAAATGCCAGCGAAAGAAGGGATTTTGCAAAAAGACTTTTTGGAGCAGTACAAAAAATTCTGTGCGTTTAATAATCATTCCGTTGGCGATCTCAAGAATTTTTGGGGACATCCACTTATCAGTGACCTACCAGTCAAAAGGCCTCAAGGTTACGTCCATTATCTCTTGAAACTGGCACCGGGAGTCAAGGAGATTAGTTCAATCTAAATATCCAAAAATATTACAAATTTTCAAAAACATTTACAAGTCTTGTTAGAACTCTTGTAAATTTCGAATATAACGGGACAGAGGTCAAGGGTTCGAACCTCAGCGACGACATTCGGATTGCATTAATGAGATCCGCGGTTTTTTGTTTTTCGGTTTTCAATGTCCGAGGACATTTCTGGCCGGCCGAGCCGAGCCGAGCTTCGGCATTTTTATTTTTTAAATAAAAATGCATTTTTCCTCCAAAGTCTTTGAGCAAATTCCAGAGACAAACCCTTATTCTCCATAATCTGATTCGCTGAGAAAAGGACCATCGCCCCGCCCCCCTCCCCCCTTAGAAGGAGAAATAAAAGGACCATCGCCCCTCCCTCCCCTCCCCCTCCCTCCACAAAAAAAAATAAAGGACCATCGCCATCCCTTCCTTCTCTGGTGGAAGGATCGAGACTGGACTGAACCATACAGTACCTCAATAAAAAAGAGGTGAAAAAGTGGGTGGTCCTCCAAAAATCTTCTTTTTTTCGCTAAGGCCTTTTTTTTCTTCCATACGAAAGCAATTATTCTTTATCACTCTCTCACTTCTTCACCTAAAAAAAATAATAATATAATATAGTCTATATTGATTGGGATCTAAAATCGAGGTTACCCTCGGTCACTCTCACCCGCGCGAAGCGCGGACGTTAAATCGCGCCAGCGATTTCATCTTCTCTATCTACTACTCAGAGCAGCGTGTGCCAAAGTCGTTCAGCCAAAACGATTCGGTAGAAACCAAGCTGAAACCGCTCAAATTTGCCATCCAATCTGTCCAATCTGTCAAGCAAATCAAACAAGTTCAATGAGCTGACACGCCGATCCATGACAACAATGACAGAAATTGCAAGCTATCAATGTCGCAATCAGCTCGACCAAATCCATTCCAATGCAAAAAAAAAAAAAAAAAAAAAAAAGGACCAACGCCCCAACATCGGGTGTCCGAATTTTGCTTGCTTGACTCCCTTGGCAAACTCGTTACAGCAAAGCACACCACACCGCGTTCTATTTCCTTTCGAATATTAATAGTCCACATCACTGCTAAGATTCTGGTCCAGTCCCTCTTTCCCAGCCTCACTCTTCCGTTCAACATCTTTGACAACACAAAAGCACGAGCTCTCGTGTTCGCTCTGGATTGGTGTTTTTTATTTTTTTTTTATTTTTTTATTTTTTATTATTTTTTATTATTGTATTTTTTTTTGTCCTTTACCGAACAAGGTCGGAATGCCCGGACGGTCGCCATCGAGACAAGGCTCGCATGCCAAGCGTTCGACGCCCACACCAACGCTGCGTCGCTGGCTCGTTCTGGCCTTGCTGAGCTCGTTGCTGCTGGTTGCGCTCGTCGACGCCGCGACTCCATCAAAAGCCCCGCCCGCCTCAGCCGCTGCTGCTGATCAGCATGCTGCTCCTGCCGACATTGAGGCAGCCTCGAGCGATGACAGTGCTGCTGCAATGGAGAGCGAGCTCCAAGCGAGTGGCGTCGAGAGCAGCACTGACAAGCTGGGTTCGTCGTCCGACTCGGCCTCCTCGAAGGGAGCAAAACGACGCTCTGGTGAGTTGTGTCATGCATTTTTTTGGGGGGTTTTCTGTTTGCCTTGGCTTTGCAAAGCATCACGCGCTGCAGCGGCAGTCGCATCGGGACGTGGAGGGAGCGATCGATTTTTCGCTAGGGGCAAAGCGTGAATTCCTCCACACCCGTTCGCATGCCTTCTTCGACCTCAATGCGTGTGACTGCATGTGGTTGCCTGTTCTGGGGGTGGCGTTTTGCACTGCGTGTTGGTGCGAGTGGAATTTGGTGCATCACCAGTTTGAGCGAAACTCGACACAATGCTGGAATTTGCATTTGTCGACTCACGTTGCTTATTTCCATCATCAATAGGCATCTCCTCCGAGGAAGCCGAAGCAATCAAGCAACTGCACTCCATGCTTGACAAGGACAATGATGGATCCATCAACATGCTCGAGTCAACCAAGGTAAAGAAAAGAATGCCAAACTCTTCCTCAGTTCAAAACCTCAAACTCACACCCCTGCACCCTGTTGATCTGTGCTGTAGTTTCTATCCGGAGACGACGCCAAAGGCATGGGTCGAGTGTGGCAGGCGCGCCAGCAAGCATTCCACAAGCTGGACACGGATCGTGACGACAACGACTTTATTTCTGTCAGCGAATTGACCACAGGCTGGGCACACTCGCCAGGTTGGGCTTTTTGGTCGTGTCTTTGTGCACAGTGGCGTTGCTGTTGCTTGCTGAAGTTGACGTTCAAATCAACTCACTTATTGTCTTGTTTAATGCCCAACAGTCCGCTCGTGGACGACAGAAGGCGTCACCAAGTGGCTGGTCGAGAAAGTGCAACTGCCCCAGTACGCTGCGGCCTTCCGTCGCAACAATGTCGATGGCAAAAAGCTGCCGTTCATGGCCATGAACAATGGCTACTACCTTCGACAGAACATTGGTGTGACTGACCACGAGCATTTGAACCGTCTGATCAACCAGATTACGCTGGATGTTGTTTTCGGCGGAATTCGTACGTAACCCTGTCGACGTCTCCTTCTTGTTTCGATCCTGCCTTTGGCAGTTTCTGTCCTACTCACTTGACACTTTCATTTCAACCGATCCCTTTTTTCGTGTTTTTTTTTGTTTTTTTTTTTTTCGTTTTTTTTCCCCCGAACCCTTTGATAGCCGATGATCGAAACATTTACAAGGAAGTCGCTCTCTACGGACTGCTGATTGCCCTGCCCATCTTGCTGGCTCTGTACTTCCGCTCGCATGCCCAGTCAACAGCTCAAAATCAAAGGCTGCGGCAAATGGGCGAATCTCTGACGAAGGCGCAGCTCGCGGCTGACGATTTTGAAAAGCGAATGAGTGAGACGACCGCCGTCCACGGCAAAAGCGTGCAAGAGATTTTCAACCAAAAGCAAGCACTCGAGGCCAAGCTGCAGCGCGAGATTGATGATGCCAAGCGCGAGGCCGCGCGTCTGCAAACGTCCCGCGAGAACTCTGACCAACTCGAAAAGCGACTCAATTTCGCAGAACGCGAGCTTGATCAAGTGCGCGATGCATTGCGGCGTGCCGAGCAGCAGCTGCTGGCACAGAACGAGCGGGTGCAGTCGGATGAGCTGCGCATCCTGCTGCAGCGAACCTTCGCGATTGAGATGCAGCAGCACACCATCCGGCGCCAATCAGCCGAGCTTGAGCTGAAGGCAGCCCACGAGGCGCTCGAGAATGTCACTCGCAAGAACAAGAACTTTATGGGCAGCTTCCGTGTCGCTCACGGTGGCTCCTTGGACAGTCTCAACGATGCCGTGCACTCGGCGCTCCAGACACTCTCGCACATGCGCAAAGAATCCGAGGAGATGTCACTCCGCTGGCAGCAAATCGAAGATGTCTTGTCCGTGACCGTTCGCGACCACAGCGGCCTGACCACCGGGATGAACAGCAACGGCAGCAACGGCATACCTCGCGTTGTTTCCAACAATGTTCTCGACAACTTGTCAAGCGGTGTCAACACCGCTTTCCTATCGAAAACAGCGACCATGACATCGCTTGGATCACGCACTGGTCGAATCTCTCCTTCATCATAAGCTCTCTCTCTCTTTTAGTTGGAGTGCTGTTATTACGTTTGCGAGGGTATGTCGTTGTCGTTGTTGTTGTGTAGATGTCTTGCATGTTTCATTTTTTTTTTCGCATGAATGAAATGTACAATGAATATTCACGAATTTACACATGAAGCAACCGACGAGCTCGGTCCAGACGCTGCTTGTGATAAGCCAACTCGAGAGCCATCAGAAGACGGTACATGTAGAAGGCAAACACAACAAAAATGGCGGCGAAAGGAGATATCAAGACCACCGAAACAATCTTGGCCGTGGCGTGGTAATAAAATCGCACATAGCCAATCATTGCTGCGCTGGCAACAAAGAGAATGACACTGGAGACAGTGCTGATAAGCCATACGGAGGTGATGATCACTTGGAACCGATCGTAGGCCACGGCAGTTGGGTCGCGGCCTGACCCAGCGAAATCCCCGCGACTCCCTTGACGGGTTTGCACGGAACGATTGGAAGCCCACAACAAGAGGCTCTCGCTTGACGTTGCCACTGTCAGCCCGCTCGCGAAACTCGGGGGAGCCTGGAGCGTGGCGCGTGCCGATGGCTGTTGGGGCTGGGTGAGTTGTTCCAGGCGCCGCTGCTCTCGACGTTGAGCATACTCGGCAAGGTTTTGTTTTCGCCCCTCGATGAGGGAGGGGTTGATGACGGGGCGAATAAACGAGCCCATCATGAAGGCGATCATGCTCGATGTGCACTGAATACTCGCAATCACAGCGTAGGGCACCAACACGGATGCCGGAAGCTCGCCAAACTTGACTTCCACCAAAGCGGTGAACGCAAAGCCAGAAATCAAAATGCCGAGAAACGAGGAGACCTTGAGGCGCACGGAGGCTAGTCGGAATTTGATGTCGGCGACACTCGAATCGTCGTGGTTGCTCTGTGAGGTTGTTGTCTGTGCCCTGCACAGCGTTTCAAGCATACAGACAAACAACGTTCGAGATCAGTGACGACGCTCAAACAACAGCAACAAGCAAAAACAATAACCGAAATCTTTGACTGGACAAACACACCTGATGGATCGGGGTCTTGACGAAAATCTACCGGTCGAACTCCCGATAGATGAGGCAGGAACGGCAAAACTCACGCCCAGCGACCGGTTGGATGGCACGTCAACGAGTCCAGTTGGACTGAGAACCGGCGATCCGCTCGTGAACAGCGGGCGAACGGTGTCGGTAATAATGCTTGCGACCTCCACGGGACTCACATCCAGAAATTCGTCCTCGACATCGTCGCCGCTGACTGATACATGCAGCACCGTTGCAGCGTTCGCGTCGTCGGCCTGACTTGGCGACGGGCGGGTTGCCAGCTCGAATGACACTGCAGCCTGCTGTGGATGGCGTTGCTGCTCCTGTGTCCAACCGCCAGAAGCAGCAGCCGCGGGTGCAGCAAGCATATTTGCGGCCACATTGGGGTTGAACCCAGATGATGCTGTTGGATGAGGAGGAAGGGCGTTCGGTTCCAATTGCGCGAACGCTGGACTACCTTGTGGTGGTTGTTGAGCGCCCGCCTCGTGTGCCACTGGTTGTCCATCCACGTCGATCAAGTCGAAGAAGACATCATCTGCCGATTGGTCGCTCGCGCTACTCTGCAGCGACGCCGACCTCTGCATCCGGGGGCCACTACTAAGATTTGGACGGTCAAGAGAGACTGAGATCAACCATTCTCAGCTTCTCTCTCTCTCTCTCTCTCTACATAAATTACAGCACAGTCATTCGAACTTGACCTTCACTTTGAGACACGATTCAGTTTCAGTTTCCAGTTTCCCAAGTCCAGTCTCACTTCAGGCAGTCATCATCACTCCTACCAACTTCAAAAATGCTCCGTGTACGGTTGTCATCATCGCGTTGTGTGCTGCTTGTGCTCTGTCTGCTTCCGCTCCCCGTTGCCTGGCTTCTGCGTGTTCGTTCTTCGTGATTTGCCCATAACAACCCCCCCCAACAATCCAACCTTGTCCATGTCTGTTCTCGCTGACTTGCCCCTTTGCTTTGCTGGTTTGATCATCGCAGTCTGCCATCACGGCGTCATCCACTTTGACGTCCGCCGCTGCCACCGCCGCTGCTGCCACCTCCAGCAACGCCACCCGCCAGTTCCACGCCATTGTGATGGGCCCGCCTGGTGGAGGCAAGTTTCAGTTTCGATTGCTCGTTGTGTTGTGTTTGGCGAGGGGGAGGGGAGGCGGTTGAGATTCGAATCCAAATTGCAAAAAAACCATCGTCCAAGAAGATGATTGTCATTCGTTTTTCGTCCCTCTCTCACGACTCTCACTCTCTGTGTTCCGCTTCCTCGCGCTCGACAGGCAAAGGAACCATCTCGTCATGGCTCGTTCGCGACTTCCAGTTCAAGCACTTGTCCAGCGGCGATCTTTTGCGCAAACAGGTTTGTTGTTCGTTCGTTCTGGTCAACGTGATTTTGCCGTTGGTCTGTGGTCTTGGCTGATCGGCCGAGTTGATCAGCTCAAAGAAAAAGAAAAAAAAATGGCGGGAGCTGCTGAGACTTTGGAGTCATTGTCTTGGCGGGAGACAAAGTGATGTCAAGAAGAAGAGCGCCAACTCACTTTTGCCGATTCGACTTCCTCAACTTCTGCAGATTGCCCAAGGCACCGAGCTCGGTCGCGTTGCAAATGAATACATCAAGGTTGTGCACGTCTACTTGTTTTTTGAACTTTGAAAAACTCTATTCGAGTGTTCATTCACTGTACTCACCGCGAAACCACCCCCCCGTGCCATCCACCATTCACAGAAAGGAGCCCTTGTGCCGGACAGTCACGTCCTTGGCATGGTCTTGGCGGAGCTGGCCTCCCTCGACCCCGAAGAACGATGGCTGCTTGATGGTTTCCCGCGATCACTCGAGCAGGTACTGGGCGAGGATGCTGTTTCAATGGGCTTTATGAGGGTTTGTTGATACCACCTTCAACCTCACTTCCATAAATGATGTAGGCCAAAGAACTTGACGCTGCTTACAAGATCCATGCTGTCATCAACCTGGACGTTCCACACGAAGAGATTACGGAACGCATCAAGCATCGGCACGTGCACATTCCAAGGTAAAGGAAATTGGGAGAGCGCGCGTTTGTTGATTCAAAAAGGCTCTGGCACTGAATTTCAGTTTGTTCTCGCAGCGGTCGCGTTTATCACACCATCTACAACCCACCCAAACAAGCGGGCCTCGACGATGTGACTAACGAGCCGCTCACTCAGGTATCGCTCCTATTTTTGTTTGCAATTGCAACTTGTGATGGTCGTGTGCGCGCCCCGCCCCGAGACACTTTGCTGACCCTCTCGATACTCTTGTCTTGATGACACTCAAACAACGTGCAGCGTGAGGACGACAAGGAAGAAGCAGTTCGTGCACGGCTGGTCAAGTACTCTGCCATCACCCAGCCACTGGTGCACTACTACCAGCAGCGTGGTACGTTGCACAATTTCCCCGGCACCGAGTCCAAGGTCATCTACCCAGAGGTTGCCAAGTACTTGAAGGCGGTCATTCCTCCAGCATGAATCAAGCGTCAATTGGCGTTGTTCTAGCCGGACTTGGACTGCACACATACCAGCCGGCCGATTGTGTCCGGATCATAATTTCACTGATTTTTGGGACCCACCTATATTACAATGGGGGTTTTCGATTGTGTGATCAGTCTAACCGTGCAAATTGGGCTGCTGGAACGGTGACTGTTTATTAAAGCTCCAATTCCCACTATTTTTGTCATTCGCGACGCTCACGCCGTTTTGTGCCCCGTCTTTCCTCTCTCTCCCATACCTGAGCATCACTTCCAGCACCACGGCACAAAAAGCGGTGCGTCTCCATCTCACCTGGGAGAGACAAGGGAAGCGAAAAAGGACCGAAAAAACAAAACCGAAGCCTGCAATCGCTCGTTTTGGAAGGATACAATTGCCGGCCCTGAACAAGAAAGTTGCCGACCAGAACGCCGACTGGAACAAACGCTTCGATGACCTGAACAAACGCTTCGATGACCAGAACACGACAATTGCTGGCCAGAACACGACAATTGCCGGCCAGCCCACGACACGACAATTGCTATCAGTTTTCTTTCTGCACATGTGACTTCATGGTTCGGACTCTTGCAGACATCATCGACAACAATGTCGTTCTCAAGGCCACGCTGAAACTTCCGCCCGACAGCGAAATGCGCCAGTGGCCGGTGGTCGACGTCGCTCTCATCGACTGGGCAGTGATGCAGCAGGCTTTGCTGGACGAACTGCAGAAAGAACCGAGTGCGACCTCGAAGAGACTCGCTGCCATTGCTCTGCTCCAACGTTTGCTGGAGCAAGAGATGGGTGGACTCAGTACGGGTCCTCAGATACGCGAACCCAAGACTCGCTTCAAAGGCGTCGTGAACGGGGTGCTTTCGCTCAAGGACGGTTCAGTTCAATCCGCGGCTTCGAGCGAGGGCAGGTCAACTCAAGTTTTCGCTCCGATTGACAAGCTGCTCGGGCACCTCGAAGACCGCCTTGGCAATCTCGCTCGCCTGGAAATCGTGACACTTGATCTCTCAGGCAACGACTTGCGCAACAGTGACATGCCGTACATTGTGAAACTCGTCCAAGCACTCAAATGTCCGGTCATCAAGTTGCGCTCCAACCGCCTGGGGATGGGCATCCCAACCAAAGAAGAAAATACGCCTGTCCACTACCTCGCCTCGCTCGCAGCAGAGGAGTTCGTGCGCTTTGTTGACATTGTTGGCAACTATGTTGCGGCAGTGGACTGGGCACCGGCCTATCAACAGTATGCAAACGAGACCACCTGGAACAAGTTGGTGTATATTCCGTTGTCTTGGCTGGAAGACCACAAGTGGTCTGAACCGGACATCTGCGGCCAGTACGTCGAATCCGCAAAGAACTGCCACAAGAAGTTTTACTGGGCCAATTTGAGCGATCCTGTCTTTACACGTCATGATTCGCTCAATTAAGTTGCTCTGCCTGGCCAACCTTGGAAGGAAAATGATACATGTATTTTGTTTTCGTGTTATTTTCAGCGGTGACATTGTGTTGCTTGTCGTTCTGTCGTCCCAGCTACTCAATGTACATTTTCGTGTTACTGTTCGGAGCAAGATCTGAGTGTATTGTCAAGGGCTATACGTTTGGTTCACAGAGAGAGATTTGCGCTGCACTTTGATTCTTCGACCAATCCCTCCCCCCCTTCTTTCCCCGCGTGTGACCATTGCCTTTTGATGCTGATGATTGATCTGAGCAAGCCCAGTCTTTCTCAGCGCATTCACATCCACAAATGGTGGTCAGTACTCGCGTCGTTTTTCGTTGGATTGATTTGCATTGAATTGAATTGTGGATTGAATTTGGCTACCTTTTTTTTTTTTTTTTTTTTTTTTTTTTTTTTTTGGTTTTTGGTTTTTGACTCTTTGGCCTCTTGCTCCCCACTCCCTCCGCCCCTTCCCTTCGACCGTTGCCCTCCTTGCCTCCATGCATCATGTGCATGATTGTCTGTTTGTTCACCTTGCTTGCGGGCGTCTTCTTCCGCGACTGGATCCTCCACTTGGATTTGCTTTTCGTTTTGGGCAGCTCGTTCTGATTCTCGGCGATCTCCATATTCCCCACCGAACAGCCGATCTCCCCGCCAAGTTCAAGGCGCTGCTGGTGAGTGGTTCGAGGACACAATGTGATGCGTGCTCTCTGTTCGCCCCCGCCCCCAAGAGTGGTCCAGTTGTCGCTCTCCTGTGTCCCTTCTTCTCGCGTTTCGTTCGTTTGCAGCGATGACCTCGCTTTCCCCAATCTGCAGCCAGTCCGACTTGCACTGCGCTAGTCTTGTGTGACTGAAAAACACTGCCGAGCTTGCAGGCGCGCTCCAGTTCTCGGCCTGTGTGGAGTGATTGGCGCGAAAGCGAGATCTCGAGATTGATTTTTCAGAGTCACTTGACTTGTTGGACTCGACCGGATTGCCGTTCGCTGATCTCGCTTGGCAGCAAAGGGAGAACCCGGACCTTCTGACACAGAGTTGATGCAGGGTTTAACCGAACGACTGTGATTCATGTGCAGTCCTACCGGGATCACCAACTTCAACTCAATATCAGCACTTACATCAACATCGCTGTTAGCGCACCCCCCCCCACTCCTCCTCCTTTCTCTTTGGTCACTCATCGAACACATTCAACTTTGCTGCTGTTGTTATACGAATTCCACAGGGCCCCGGCAAGATTCAACACATTCTTTGCACCGGCAACCTCTGCAGTAAGGACAGCTTTGACTACTTGAAGAGCCTCGCCAGCGACGTTCACGTCGTGAAGGGAGATTTCGACGAGGTACGTGTCGTCGTTGATGTGTTTGATTGAGTTGTCGCAGTGAGATTTGCACGCGAGTCTCATCAGTTTTTTTTTTTATGATTATTTTGGCTGTTCTTTTGGATCGGTCTGCCGCGCAGAACCCCCACCTATCCCGAAAACAAGGTCGTGACTGTCGGTCAGTTCAAGATCGGTCTCTGCCATGGCCACCAAATCGTGCCGTGGGGCGATGTGGAGAGCCTCTCTCTGCTCCAGCGACAGGTGCGAAATCGAGTTGAGGTTGTTTGTTGTAGTCATGCGTTTTTGGTTGGTTTGTGCTCTGATCGCTCAATTTCCGCCTTTATATCGTTGTTCTGTCCACAACAGCTTGACGTTGACATTCTCATTACTGGCCACACACACAAGTTTGCCTCGTTCGAGCGTGAGGGCAAGTTCTTCATCAACCCCGGTTCGGCAACCGGTGCTTTCACTCCCCTCGACAGCGAGATCAACCCATCCTTTGCCCTTATGGACATCCAAGGCGCCAACGTTGTCGTGTACGTGTACACCCTCCGTGGAGAGGAGGTCAAGGTTGAGAAGCTTGACTACAAGAAGCAAGCTTAAAAAAAATAAAAAGCTGATTTTGTAATCATGTGCGTGTGTGTGTAGTGCAATCATGTGTGTGTGTGTCCTTGTGTTATTGGGGTTTCCCCTCTTTGTGTTTCTTGTCCGATAAATCGACCTCTGCCACTCCTTCCTTTCTCTTGAGTGTGTCCTTCCTTCCTTCCTTCCTTCCTTCCTTCCTTCCTTCCTTCCTTCCTTCCTTCCTTCCTTCCTTTTTCTGGAGCGACAATAACTCAGTGCCATAGGGCCATCAAGACAGTGTCAGAGGACAGTTATTATATAGTTGGTAATGTTTACATGGCAGCCGCATTATCCTCGTCCTCGGCCACCCGTCGAATCTGCACATTGCCGACGGGTTCAGCTGCACCCCACTCAAACCCGCCAGGTTGAGGGACTTGGGCAGCGGCGCCTTCGGGGACGGTCGGTACGACTGGTCGTGTCTCAAACAACCAAGTGCTGCATTATTTCCAAAGATGAGTGTATGCATTGCAATTCTTACCCAGTCAGTTGTTGTGCATGACTTACAAGAAGCGAGGGGTTTTGAGTGGATGCGCGCCAAACTCGAGAGGCACAACGTCGTGCAAAAAGTAGTAAATGTGTCCAATGGCGATGCCAATGATATCGGCGGCGGTAGATTCTGGCGACGTGATCAGCGAGAAGCCTGACCAAGCAAGAGGGATGGAACCGCAGAGTCGCGTCAGAATACAAAAAGAAAGGGTTGGCAAGGTCAACATCCCGACTATCTGTTGACCACACATTACCACCTACCCAGCAGAATCCAGGGCAAAAATGGCGCTCGGAACGAGAACAAGCCCAGGAAGAACATGCGCGTGCTGCCCTTGTGCTTGGACCACACGTAAACAAGCATAAATGTGAGGGCGGACCCGAGAAAGTAGCTCTCGAATGAGGTGTACAGCTGCAGGAAGGATGCAATGATCTTTGAGAACAAAACAAGCGCAAGTATCCAAACTGTACAGTAAGTTTCTTGTTCGCTGACAGCAAAAAACAATTCTGAAAACTACCCATCATCAAACCTTACATTGAGCAGAACGACGCCGATGGTGATCATGTAGAAAAAGTCACCCGACCTGCGGTGGAAGAGCTCTTCCTCCAAGCTGCGTGAGTAGTGGTACACAAAGAACATGTGGAAGAAGAATCCCACTTGTAGCCCTCCGAAGAAGCACAGGTGTGTAATCAGCCTCCAATACTACGAGTTTCCGAGAAGGGCGGGATTTTCCAGTGATGAAAGTGGACAGATACATGTCGCAAGCAGTGGGGTGAGTAAGCGAGCTGAGTTGGCAAAGTACATTGGTGTTCACTGCGCCTTCCGACACAGCGCTTCGATGAACTCATAAAGGCCAATCAAGCATTGTTACCTCGTGCTGGTAAAAGATCAAGTCAAAGCGGAAGAGCAGCTGGAGCAGGTTGACGACTCGTAGTTGCTGTTGCAATTTGAAACAGAAGCCAAACGACGCAATGGCGAGCGAATCAGTCAGCGCAGCGCAGAACAAGACAAACACAGCCGCATGAGTTCGATGACACTGGAAAGATGGTTGTGGTGGAGGTGGAGGTGGAGGAGTCGGAAGATGGGCCTGGGGCACTTTGGACTTTCAGCCACTCTAGTCTAGCTTGTGGCCCAAGGAGAAAGAGAGAACGACAAGCTCGCAGGACAGAACGTACCACTGCCAAGGCCGATAACACGCATGCCGTAATGTAACAGCGGGTGACGATTGGCACGCCAAAGAACCAGCGCTCAATGGTCGACATTGGAAGGTTTTGGTGGCAATGACGCGTTTGGCTCGTTCTGAGAAACTGGAAGCGCGCAAAGTCCAAAAACAAAAATAGGACTGTCGTGCATGTCATGCATGGACGAGGCTTCAAAAGATGAAGGCAATGTATTCCGACCACAAGCTGCGTGGAACCGACAATGAAAAAAGGTTTTGGATTTCAAGTTCTGAGATTTGAATGCTTGTATTTACAATGAAAAACTAACAATACACAGGATTTGTTCCTTTAAACATAAAGTAACAACCCCATTTTCGTGGTGTACAATATTACGAAAGGCGGATTTGGAAGAGCAGTCTGAGACCCATCCTTCAAAAATCTAAGGTCGTCGTTGGTGCGCCTTGGGAGCAGGGGTTGCTGACGAGACCTGCTGCCACGGGAAGGGGTTGTTGCGATGGTCAAAGACAACATCGGTCTTCCTTGAGGTGTGGATCATTGATCCGACGCCATAGGTGACAGCGGTGCCGACAACGGCGAGCAGCGGAATGATTTCCTTGAACTGCTTGACATCGGCAATGACGGCGTTGATAGCGCTCATGGTTGTATGTAGCTTGTGTAATAATAAGAGTAGGAGTCTTGTAAAGGCTTTTTCTTTTTCTTGATGAAAAAAAGAGGAGTGAGGAGCAGCTTGGGTTGGACGAAATGCGCTTTTAAACTGAGCAAAACAGAGTGCGAATCGGAAGTGCGAGGCGATCTCGCACTCCTTTTGGTCTGTTTCCAATTCGCTTCCAGCTGCTTCCAGCTCAGCAGAGCGTTGAAGTTTGAACTCACGCTCTCGAATGGAAATCTGACTCTGTGCATTTTTGAGTGAACGATTGATAATACAAAGCAATTCATTCGCGCGGCATGGGATGGGATGGGATCTGAGAATGCCAGTCCAACTTTGTCTCTTCTAATCTCTCGTTGCTCAGCCGACTCTCACCCGGAAACACAAGCCACTTGCATAGAATCTTCCAAACAAAGCCACACTGCACTCAAAACGAACGAAAACAAGCATCAGTCCTCAGCCATGACGGAAAGCGACATGCTCAAGGAGGACTTGTACAAGCTGCTGAATGTCGAGCCGACAGCCACAGAGAAGGAGATTGCCAAGGCGTACCGCGTCGGAGCACTCAAGTGCCATCCAGACAAGAACCCAGACAACCCAGCAGCACACGAGTTGTTCCAGCGACTGTCGCGAGGTGAGTGCTTGGAGGGCGACCAGCGGCTTGGGCTCTTGGCTTTTGGCTATTGGAAAAGCGTCGGATGGACGTTTGTGAGTTGCTCATTCCACTGACCTTTGCTGACTTGTGTGTGTGTGTGCGCGCGCGCTCGCAAAAAAACAAACAACCAGCGTATGAAATATTGGGCGACGAGAAGGCGAGACAGGCGTACGACGGACTGCTCACTGCTCGCAACGTCAACAAGGCGCGCGTGTCGGCAATGAACGACCGCCAGCGCGAGCTGCGCGCCGATCTCGAGCGAAGAGAGAGTGAGGCGTCTGCACGCAGGGCCGCTGCTGCTGCTGCTGGGGCGGCGGAGAACGGTGGGGCGGCGAACAAGCGTCCGAGGATGGATGAGGATCACCTCCGCGCGCAGTTGGCGCACGAGATTGAGCGGCTTCGCAAGGATGGCATGCGGCGATTGCAGGAAGAGCAAGAAAAGATGCGAAGGACCATCGAGGAAGAGAGGAAACAGGCGACACACGCTGCATACGCGTTTACGAGCGAGGCACAACCCATGCAACAACACGACGCTCAGAGCGCAAGCGCAAGTGTTGTGATTCGATGGAATCCCAGCGCAGATCCGCCACTCACAGAAGACACGCTTCGGGAAATGCTCGGAGCTTGTGGAGGTCTCGACACCTTGCTCACGTCGAAAAACCCAGGAAGTGCTGTCGCAAGCTTTGCGTCGCTGGAAGGCGCTGCCCGGGCACTCGCTGCGGCCACCAACCTCTCCAACGCGCCCATTGGTGCCGACCTCAAGTTAAAAATTATCCTCAAGGAGGACTCTGGTGCCCCAGCCGATCAAGCCGAACTCGTGGCTGCGCTTGTGCAGCGGCATCGCGCGTTTCGCTTTCCTCAGATGGCTGGTCGCCAAAGCGACTCATCCTTGCGAAGATCCACCCAGACTCCAATTCCCGCGGATGCCACAGAGTACGAGCGGGTTACCTTGCTTCGGATGCGCGAAGCCCAGGAGCGACGACGGCTTCAGCACGCCCACAGCTGAGCGGCTCGTTCTGGTTCTGCGCCGTGGCTATTTGATGCAGGGTGTGCTAGAGATGAAAAAGATATACAGTATCAGGTCCATCTCGTTTTACAGTACAGAAGTTTACGATTTCTGTTCGCTGCGGGCTCCGAGCAAGACGTTTCGTGGTGGTGTTACATTTATTTACAATGGTGGTGTAATTACAGAATCCATTCTGGATCCATTCAACTAACAAACGGCAGAAAAAAAACAAAACGAAAAAGAAACCCGACAACAACAACAACAACGAACGCAAAAAACAAAGAGTGTTAACAATCAGATGGAGTATCTCACGATGGGATACTCCAGTGACCCCGCTATGGTTGCCAAGGAAGCCATAGCTGCCACAGCGATTCATCCCTCGGCTCGTGGAAAGGTACCTCCCCGCAAGAAGGGAGGCAGGTTCAAAAGTGGACTGGCAGAATGATTCGTGCAGCAAACAGCTCGGCCAAGAACGCAAACAACGTTGACAGGATGAACAGAATATAAGAATAGCCCACAGAGACATTCTCGGGCAGCTTGAATGCCTTCCCGCTCACAAGAGGCGAGCTAAATCCTCCCGGGAAGATGAGAGTGGCCAAAGCGAGCAAGCACGCTGAGAATTGAATGAGTTTGACAACAGGCGAGGGAGTTAGTCGATGTGCAACTACACACAACCATTCATGACATGTCTGCCAACAAATGGGAATCTCTGAGATTCTCAGAACTCGAAGCCACACCCCCGCAAAACCCCTTCCCCTGACTTACCAGCAAAGAATCCCAGGTTACATGCAATGCGCATGCTGTGGGTGTTGTACCAAGCGCCGAGCGAGCACAGAATGGCGCCAAAGAGCGAGATCATTCCAACGACCATCAGGCAGTAGGCGGCCTGCCAAGCGACGGGCAGCTGGTCGATAGGCGCGACCATGCAGTACTCGGAGCCCGACAAGGACGGCCAGCACTGGTGCACAATGCCGAGCCTCGTATGCGTCCCTGCAGATAATGGCAATGGTGGTTGTATTGCAGAGCAGAGCGGTGAGCAAAAGCCGCAGATTTCCCATCACACAGGCTCACTCAACCTCCAGTCAGGTCACTGCTTTGGGAGTCTTGTATTGTTGCTTTAGCTTTGTTATTACCAAAGGACTCGCGATCGAGCCACATGGGCGTGGAGACGGCGACGACGCAGAGAATGAACGAGGTCGCAAACAATCCCAGCGACGCAACAATGGTACTGCTGGCGACGATGGACGGCATGACTGAAGATTGAGCCAACAGTGAAAAAGAAAAAAAGGAGTGACGAGCATACAAACTCATTCAGAAGAGGGAAATTCAAAAAGAGAAACAAGAGCGAGGAAAAGGCAAAAAAAAAAAAAAAAAAACACGACAAAAGTAGCTCAGAATTTTGAAGGTAAAGCGGGCTACATGTATTGGGTTGAGCATTCACAACAACAATTCCATCTACTGATTGAACGTCGCTTGGAGAGACTGGCCACTTGATGTCGTGTAGCTCAAAAGCGCAGCCTGTGCCCAAAGAAACAAAAAGGAAACTTCAATCAGAAAAGGGTCCATGGCAGTTCAAAAAGTCTCAGTGCTCGCTCTCTGTACTGACCTGAAGTGCACGAATCTGGACAGAAAACAGCATCAATGATTGTCCGGGTGTCGAGCTCAGGGCAGAAGGCAGCTGTACGTTGAGAACATGTTCCAGATCGAGAATCTGCTGCGCCAAGTCTGACGAAGGATCGCTTGTCAACGCCTCCGTGACCTTTGCCCCGACCAATCCGACTCGCACAACGCTTGGCTTGATCGGGTACGACACGGGCAGGCAAATCACCGCCTTCAGCACTGGTCAATCACCAAAAAACAACAACAAAAAAAAAGTGAGAAAAAAAAAGTGAGATCAAGACACTTTACAAGTGAGACGCTGATCCAAAGGTCAGCACCCATCATCCTCCTACATACCTTCGGATCCATGCTGCAAGCTCGCAGAAATACACGCCAAGGTCGAGTCGGCGTCCCAGACTGGCAGGGCATCGACAGAAGCCTCGGCAGCGCTGTCAGAATCCTCCGTGTCCATGGCGCGAGAGCCATCCTCATCTTCATCGCGGCCTTCAGCTGGTTGAAGCTCGTTGCCATCCGCGTCGACAGGGTTTGTTGCCGAGGCCTCGCCTTGAGTCTTTCGACGCAACCGGGGACGCAGAGCCTTCATTGCCTCAAAGTCAGTGACATTGGTCGACTTGATGCGCGGAATACTGCTGCTGGGCGAGGTCTCCAAGAGCGGGAAGGTTACCGGCAGGTTGTCGGTTGGCTTGCCGCTGTCGAGCTGGAAGAGCTGCGTCATGAGCTGCTGCCGCGCACCCAAACGATTGGCAATCGTGTCCACCACCGACATGACGTGACGCCGTGCAGAAATTTCCTGCGCAAGGCCAGTCTCCAGCGCATCAGACTGGTACTGAATGCTGTCAGACTGAGCTGCATCGGCACCGTCAACGGGCAATGTGGCACTTTCAAGTCCGCAGATCGACTGTGCCCAGCGATACGCAAACTCGGACGGATGGAGCAACTCGTTGAAGGACGCCGATACGCCGAATCGCGCAAAGAAAAAGCCTGCGCTCGGGTTGGGAGAGACACGACCAATGTCATCCGGGAAGAGCGCGGCCAAGACCTTGGAGCTGAGAGCGCGGGACCCAGACTCTTTGCGAGTGTTGTCAATGACAGGACGGCAAGTCACCATGTTGAGATGAACGAGGTAAAAGAACTCGATGGTCACCGACGTGTTGGAGCGATGCCCAATCTTGACCGACACATGCAACGGATGGCGGCGGAAGAGCTGGTTGGCGACGGAGTTGCTCGCAAAAGCAGTCGAAACCGAAGACGCCACATGACTTCCAAGGGCGCCGGTGCCGCTAGCAGCAGTGCCAGCGGGGACGGCGAGGGGCTTGGCGAATGTGCCGCTGCTGGCCGATGTCGATGCTGATGCAGCGTTTCCCGACTCGGCTGTACTCGCGGCAGCGGCCAATTTCGCCTCTGTGCAAAGAGTAAAGAAACCAAGGAAACGAGAAGAAGAAGCAGAAAGGGTGAGCAACACACACACACACACACATACACATACACATACACACACACACACACACACACACACACACACACACACACACACACACACACACACACACACACACACACACACACACACACACACACACACACACACACACACACACACACACACACACACACACACACACACACACACACACACACACACACACACACACACACACACATACCGTGCTCCGCAGCGCTCTTTTTGAGAGACTCTAGCAGATCCAGATTTGCTGTAGGTCCGCGAGGCATGGCACGAGCATCAAGCAGGTTGCCCTCGATAGACACAGACACATTGTGGTCTTTGAAAGCTTCGCGGTAGCCGCACAGCTGAACAAACAAAATCAAGAGAGGGCGCGGAAGCAGCAAATGCTGATGGTAGTACAGCACTTGAGGCGACGCGAGTTGCTTCTTCAACGATTCGGCGTTGCCGAACGTCGCTGCTGGCATCGGAGTTCCTGACAGAATGGCAGGCAAAAGCGAATCCATGGCCGAGCCCGCCAGCTCGGTTCGCAGCGGCTCGGCACCTTTGAGGAAGGCCTCAATTTGCGCTGGTAGCTTGTTGTGCACGGCGTTGCGCGAATTCAACCGGTCATCCATCAACAAGCGTCGCTTGTTCAGAGTTTGAACACTGTCATGCAGTTCTTTTCGGAGCTGAAGTTCGAGGCCCAGGCGCGCGATGGTGGTCTAAGCGGAAGGTGAAAGGGGGGAAGAGAGAGAGAGAGAGAGAGAGAGAGAGAGAGAGAGAGAGAGAGAGAGAGAGAGAGAGAGAGAGAGAGAGAGAGAGAGAGAGAGAGAGAGAGAGAGAGAGAGAGAGAGAGAGAGAGAGAGCGCGAAGAGCAACAGGTGGGGAAAGGTGAAGAGTCAGCCTCCTCCTCGACACTGAAGCCTGACACTCCACCCACATGCTCAAACGCCTTCCATACCTGATGATCTGCAGCCTGCCGGTCGACAGGTTTGTCAGTTGAGGTGTCCATGGCCGACGCGTTGCTTCCCGAGGCAGGGTTGTTGGCCTGGTGTGCCAAGAGCTCCTCCACCGAGACAAGCTCCATGGTGTCGTGGATGGATGCGTACTCCCGACATTGCTCGATCTCTTGCAGCAAATGGGCCTTTTCATACAGCAGATTCTGCAGGCGTAGGTGCTCGCGATCCACAGCGTGTTTTCGCTTCTCGGTGGCCTCCTTGATTCCCTGTTTTTGTTTTTTTTTTGTGCCCCGGATGTCCGGTCGATCGCAAAATGGCCCAAACACAAGGCCAGAACAAACAGCGCACCATCGCAACGTTCACCAGTTCACGTCAGACCAGTGTAGTCGGGACGACAAGCAATCCACCGCGCGCTGGATTCGTTTGGAGGGGGACTGTCTCGTTCCTCTGCTTTCCCTCAGGCCCTTGCCCTCCTCCCCAAAACACTATCATCTGCAACAGGTTGCACACACTTACGCGAGTGTGGTTGACAGCAAGTCGGTTGAGCCGCTTGACTTCGAGCACAGCCAGCGAGAGCCGCGTCGCCACTGGGCGTGCATTGCTCTACAACAGAACAGACAATCCCAAACCAAGAAGAGCCAACGGTCAGCAACGTGAACGTTCCCTCATTCATGCAACAAACAGATCAGCATCCGGAGCCAAAGCACAATTGTGGCTGGAGAACGAGCAAAGCGATCAACGATCAAGAAGCACGGTTGACGGGTGCGTTTTGAGTACCTCGGCCTGGGCTCGCTCCTGGGACAGTGGCGCGCTCTTGATGATGACAGCGCGAATGCCTGCAAGCTGATCCACAAGCTCACGGAGTCGGTTGGTCGCGACTTCCAGCATCGACTCGGACAGCGGCGGCGACGAGGTTTCCATTTCGATTCAATCAAATCCTCGACAAACAAAAGACTGAGCGGGCAGATCATATCTCACAAAGGTAGATTGGCATTGGATGCAGCATGATTGCAAACTGTGCAGATTGTTGCGTGCTGGAAGAGACATGGAAGAATATCGCAAGCAATCGGTTTGTTGTTTTTGTACTTAATCCAAACACTCAATGCAAGTGCAAATGCAAAAGCAATTCAATAAAGAGGAAAAAAACCGGAGACGAAAACCATGCGTCAAAAAGAAACGAACATCAAACATTCCAACAGCTTTCAAAGTTACAAGGCCAACGCTGCAAGGTTGGCATAGAGATCGAGAGAGTCAGGGTTTCGCAAAGCGCCACGCTCTGTCACAGGCTCGCCTGAGATAATCTTCTTGACTGCAACTTCGACTTTCTTGTTATTGATCGTGTACTAGCGGGCAGACACAAGAGAAATGAGCGAGAATGAGTGCATGAAACAAACAAACAAAAAAAAGCAAACCAAACCACAGGCAAAAAAAGCAACAATACAGACCGGAATATCTGCAATCGGCAGAATAATGGCAGGAACATGACGTGCAGACAGTTGCGCGCGGATTGTTGATTGAATGCGCGTCAGCAGCGCCTTGTCCAGAGTAGACTCGCCATTTCGCAGCATCAAGAAGAGCACGACACGCTCGTCGGCGCCCATCTTTTGACCGACGCAAAGCGCGTCGAGGATTTCGGGGAAGAGCTCGGGTTGCTCGACTGCCAAATTCCACCCAAAGGTGTTTGTTAGTAACAGAGTTTCGTTGCTGTCTTGCTCATTCATTGTCAGCCCGTCGAATTCGTCACATACCAATGTTGTAAATTTCAGCACTGCCAAAGCGGACACCGGCGGGGTTGAGGGTGCCGTCGCTACGACCGAGCATCACGACACCGCCTGTCTGCGAGCTCACCATCATGTAATCGCCGTGCGACCACACGCCTACGAACGAAAGTCGCCATGTGAGCACACAAAACGTTGAACAACCCAACATACAAACAACCACAAGAAAGTTGAATCACCACACTCACCGGGATACTTGGAAAAGTACGCCTTCTTGTACTTTTTGCCATCATCGTCGTTAATGAAAAAGACTGGTTGGCAGGGGAATGGCTTGACGCAAACAAGCTCGCCAGCCACGTCAAAGACCTCCTTGCCGTCGTCGTCCCAGGCCTGGACGTCCATGCCCAGGCAGCGGCATTGAATCTCGCCGCGGTAGACGGGTAATGAGACGTGATGGCCAGCGAACAAAGAGATGATATCCGTGCCACCTGTTCAACGAACGACACACCACATCATTTAGTTGTGTGAACGACAGCGACTCGTAAAGCTGGTTTTCGAAGGAAAGCAAACAAACAAAACACAAACAAAACACAAACAAAACACAAACAAAACAAAAAACAAAGGCCTTACCAGTAATCGAGCCAAGAACAATATCTTGCTTGATGCTATTGTACACGTAATCGTACGACTCGGGCTTGAGGGGCGAGCCAGTCGACAGAACGCAGCGGAGGCTATTGAAATGATGAGCTTCCTCTGGAAACACACAACCAAACAAACAAAAAGCACAAAGTTAGAAAAATGCATTCAATCCATCATCCAATCAAAAAACAACAAAAACAAGTCTCCTCACTTGGCACAAGCTTCTTCTCTTCCAGGGCGGCAAGCCACTTGGCGCCAGTGCCAAGAACGGTGATGGAAAGCTCGTCCACCAAATCCCACAGCACATTGGGCGAAGGGATAAACGGAGAGCCATCGTACAGCACAACGGTCGCGCCAACAGCGAGGGCAGTCATGAGCCAGTTCCACATCATCCAGCCAGCCGTCGTGTAGTAAAGAATGACATCGTCGCTGGTGAGGTCGCCGTGCAGCCTGTGCTCCTTGAGGTGCTGCAAGAGCGTTCCACCGACCGAGTGAACCATGCACTTGGGAATGCCAGTCGTGCCGGACGAGAACATGATGAATAATGGGTGGTTGAAGGGGACCTGCTCGTACACCAGGGCGGGGGCAGGCTCAGTGGGAGAGGAGGCCTCGTTGAGGAAGGCGTCAAAGCTGACCCAGTTGGCATGGAGCATGGGCGACGGGTGCTCCTGAACGAACGGGAACACTACGACGCGCTGAACCGTGCTCAAGTCACGCACAACGGCGTCGAGCTTTTCAGTGTGGTCGTGGACGCGGCCATTGTAGTGCACGGCATTCACAGAGAAGACAACGCGCGGCGAGATTTGACTAATGCGCTCCACAACACCCTTGACGCCAAAGTCAGGGCTGGTCGAGCTCCAGGCAGCACCAAGGCTTGCGGTGGCCAGCATGGCGGCGACAGCCTCAATGCAGTTGGGCACATAACCCACGACGCGGTCGCCGGATTTGACGCCCTGCTTCTTGAGGGCAGCAGCAATGCGCGAAACAAGCGCCTTGAGCTGGCCGAAAGTATAACGAGTGGGCGGAGTGTTTTCGCCTGCGTCGAGTTCAAAGTACAAGAAAAGGGGAAGGGAAAAGGTAAGTCATTTCTGACGCGTGTCGCATTCGCTTCTGTTGCCATTCTTGTCGCTTACCAGTGCCGATGAGAGCAACCTTGTCACTGGGGTGCTCAAGCAGGTGCTCGGCGTAGTTGAGGCGGCTGCCGCGGAACCACTCGGGCACGTCCACAGGCTGCTTTGTCATGTCCACGACCTGTGCGAAAGCGGGGGGGGGAGAGGTTACGAGAGTTTGTGTCGTTGAGAAAACCACAACCAAACGGGAGGCGCAAGTTGGACAATGGCGTTCGTTGGTTACCTGTTCGTAAGGCTTGGAGTGCTTGATACCGACAAATTGCCAGAGGTCACCCCAGAATTCGTCATACTTGTCGACCGACCACTTGCGCAGGCTCTCGTACGAGTCTATTGCAAAGTGACAAGGACAAAGATAAGTCGAGTGTTGAGGAGGGTGGGTGGGTCGGAATTGACGTTCCGCTTTTGTTGGGGCGAAAGCGACTGGTTCGTGACTTTTGATCATGCAGCGCACTTTTCTCATCACCCGCCACCCCTCAAAACTAACTAGAAAAAAAAACCACGAAAAGGCAAAACTCTACTTTCAAAGAGGCGACAGCTGGTCATGCATGACGCTTTTCGGCTTGTTACTCTCATTGGTGGGGGCTGTCAAACTCAGCGGTGGACGTTCGAGTTGCCCCCGTGCATCGCCAATAATATTGACACTCCACACAAGCATTGACTGAGTTCGTCTTGTACCAACTCTTCCCTTCCACACGCCGGCCATTCGACAAAACTGCTCCCCGCCATTGTCGTCATGCAAACAGAGAGAGGGGGCGAAAGTGCAATGAATCAGGTTTGGGTTCCTACTTTTCCTTCTCTCTTCCTATCCCGTCCTCATTCGCTCACAGCGCTTCTGCTGAGAATGCCTGCTGGTTCACAGCGCCCTCTTTCTCTTTCTCTTCCTCTTCCTCTTCCTCACACTGCGGCGTCGCTGGGTCGTCCAGGAACAGCAAAAAACCAAAAGGAGAAGAATAAAATACAAAAAGTCACGCCTCAGTTGAAAAAAAAAAAGAAAAAAAAAAAAAGAGGATAAAAAAATCACCTCATTGCGAGTCACTGAAACGAAATGATGCAGGAAGGGCTGGAGCGTACGACGAAGGCCCTTACCGAAAGTGAGACCGCGCTTGGCAGCGACGGCGGCAGTGAATGCCTCCATCTGCGTGGGGCGCGCGGGAGGAGCGGCGGTGGCGGCGGCGGCAGCCACATCAGCGAGTTGCTCAGTCACGACTGTCGGCGTTTGAGCGTGGTGCTTGTGATGATGATGATGGTGCGCGTGGTGACGCGGGCGCCACAGCGGCTCTTGGTATGTTGCGGTGGGTTGAACCATGTCTGAAAAATAAAACAACCAAGCTGCAACAGTGAGACGGCGACGTTGTTGGGAGGAAAGGAAGACCAAATGGAAAAAAAAAAAAAAAAGAAAAAAAAAAGGAACACTAGGAAAGCAAGTGGCGTGAGTTGGGATTCCTTCTCGTTTCGACACTCTCCCTCCTGCTGGTCTGCCTGCTTTGGTATTGAGTTTGTGAGGGGGGAATTGGATGTGTAGCGACCGTGCATGACGAACTGCGGGCAGGGTGCCAGTGCCCATCACACTCTGGCGCGCTCAATCACACGTGCAACGAAAGGCACCGTGAAACACAGCTCAAGAACAAAAAAAAAAAAAAAAAAAAAAAAGCCAAGTTACCAAAAAACAAAAATGAAAACTGATCTTTCGACTTTGACATTGAAACCGCTTTTGGGTGTTGGTCGCGATGCACTGTTGACATTATCAAACGAAACATTTGGCTTGGAAAACGGCGTGCCAAATGCATGAACAAGCGCATCGGATTCAAGGAAGCAGCGTGATTTGAAAAATGGACATTTCACGTGCAGGCGTGTTTTGTGTTGTTGGAACCATCGAAACGAAAAATGCTCCGCTCCAAGCGATCGCAGCAACGAGCCAGAGCGGCGTCACAGGTCTGGAAGTCTGAGTCTGGCTGGTGTAGACAAAGTCTGAACTCTGGCTGAAATATGGGCACACGAGTCCTCTGGGGGAAAAGGACGAGTTGAAACGCCAGCACAACAACTGTGGATGTCAAACTGCTTGTATTTATAAACACACCAACAGGAAAGAATACACGACAAGCAACGCAATGACATTTACTTGGTCGTCCGAGCACGCGAAGCCTTTGGTTTTGTGGCAGACTCGGACGCCGACTCAGACTTGGAACCTTTGGACTTTGCCGCAGTTTTGGGAGTGGACGACTTTGGTTTTGGGACAGACTCGGAACTAGTGGACTCTGACGCTGACTTGGAGCGCTTGGACTTTGCCGCAGCTTTGGGAGCGTCAACTTTGGCAGCCGCTTCCGGCTCAACCGTTGGCGACGCTTCCTGTGGCAGCTTGGTGCGCGACTTTTTCGTCAGAGTGGCGTCAGCTTCATCCTTGACTTTCTTGGACGGTTTTTCTGCAGCAGTCGCATCAGCAGTCTTGGCACGCGGTTTCCGCGCGACGGGCTTCTTGACTACGAACGCGGATTTGGAATCGGGATGGGGAACCTGCACCACCACCGTCTTTTGCCTAGTGCGCTTTGCGGCGGTGCTCAGAGGTGGGGCTACAGCAGCTGCTTGGGCTGCTGATGTCGATGCACCAGGAGCAGTGGACTTGGTTGCTGCTGCTGCTGTTGAACGGCCCTTGACCTCTGATGCAGCGCTTCGAACAGCGCCCTTCTCTTGCACTCGCGATTTCAGCCAGTTTGGACGATACGCAAACTGGTTGTGGGTGGGCGTTTCCGTTGCGCTTAGAATCGCAGCCCCGACATCCTCCAGCGCCTCATCGAAATCGACAACCGTGTCTTCAGCAACCGTGTCTTGCGAGCCAGACAGGGCCACCAACGCCTTGTCCACCCGCTGACGCAGCGCTTCCGCAGACAGCCCTTGCTCCATGATGAAATCTTCCGCATCTTCATCGTCCAGCGGCTCGTCAATCGCATCCACCTCAACGGTCATTGTCGTCGGCAGTGCCTTTGCCGCCTTAAGAGCCTTTGCGGATGTTTTCTTGACTTCGGGCTTAAAGTGGGCGTTGGGCGGTGCTGGCCGAAGGGTCCGAGCCGGCGTTAGACCGCGAACACTCGTTGAAGCAAGCTGAGCAGCTGCGTCGGTGGGTGTCGGTGGCGGATGAATCAGCCAGCTTCCATTGTCCGTTTCAGACAGCAGTTGCTGAATGTCGAGCGTCCGACCGAGGGCCAGGGGGACTGGCTGCGACGGAGTGACGCAGATTTGGTTGGACTCTTTGCGCAGAACGTGGTCTACATCCACGCCACTGAAAAAGGCAACGGATAGCGGGAGGTCGTACACGCCGACTTGCGCCGAGAACAAGGCGCGCGTCCACAAGTTGGCCACTTGCATGGCCAGGGCCAAGCGCAGAGTGTCTGTTTCGCGCACCAAAAACCGCACCTCATCGTGAATGGTGATGCACAGCCTGGCGTCAATCTTGTAGCGCTGCACCAGCCACTTGACCGAGGTCAGCAGCAGGTGCAGATAGTCGACACCAGACGACTGCACCGCCCAGTTGACGCGCGTGGTCGCAAACTCGCCCTTGATCACGTTCGGATGCAGAGCGTTGCAAATCTCGCACCCCAGCGCAGGCGTGCGCGGGTTTTTCGTTGCAATTTGCTCCAGCTTGTTGAACGTGTATGACTCGGATCCACCGCGCCACTCGCCCGTGGGCTGGGACGGCGAGCGACTTTGGCCGTCTCGCCTGCCCTTGGTGCTCGCGTACAGATCGCTGGAGCGCTTGTCGGCCTCTTCCTGGCTCAGCGAGGCATCAAACTGCTTGAGGAGCTTTTGGGCATACGACATTCCCGCTCCGTAAATGCGCGCATAGTTGAAAATCTTGGCGTGGTCACGATCCGTCTTCAGGGTGGCAGCGGTTTTGGAGTGCATGTCTGTGCCATCGCTCTTCTTGCCTGCCAACGTCATCCAGCCCAGAGCAGTGGCACCATGCAGCCCAAATCGAGCGTCGCCAAACAAGGCGGCAATCCACAATTCTTCAGAGTCAACGTCGGCACCCACAAGCTGGTACCCTTGCGGAGCCACCACCTTGATTTTCAGCTCAGAGCCAAGGCGATTCTTCTTTGCATTGCTGGCAGTCATCCACGTTGGCTCAACTGCGCGCCGCGTGATGGTGCCAGCCGAAACAACCTGAGGCACAATGGCGCCAAAGTCCTGGCGCAGCTGAGACGCTTGATCCTGGCCGTGGCTGCTCGGAGGGCGAGGCTCGGTGCCCATCGAGATGGTGGACGGCGGCAGCAGGCAGTCAGACGGCACCGTGCTCGGATCGACTGGGAAGGCGTTGCCACTTGCGGCCAGCATGTCTTGCAGAATGGAAAACTGCGACTTGACCCGCCGATTCACACCCACCCAATACGCGCACATGGTGTTGAGCGCCAGCGCTTTGGAGGCCGTCTCCGACTGGGACGTCAGCACGCCCTTTTCCAACGCCTTCAAGTAGTCCTTGGCCAGAGGCGAGCCACAGCGAACTGTCTCGCCTCCTTTGTGTGGAATGCGGTAGAAGACAAGCCAATCGGGCTCTTGCCCGTGGAGCACAGTTATTGGGACGGTCTTGTCGTTGAACAGAACGGGTTCCAAGTGGCTTCGGTCTTTCTTGGCGGCGGCGGCGGCGGCGGCGGTGGTTGCTGGTTTGGTTTTTGTTTTTGTTGTTGATCTTGTGGTTGTATTTGGTGTGTTGTTCACGTGGTCGATGTTGTCCATGGTGGTGGTGGTGATGGTGGTGGAGACATTGTCAATCATGTCAGCATCGTCCTTGTTGGCATCCGCGCCCGCCAAGACTTCAAGCTGTTCAGCAAACTCGTCATCCTCAGCCACCGCGGCCTCCTCCTCCGCCGCCGCCTCCTCCTCCTCCTTCTCGGTCGGAGATGAAGAATCAAGTTGGAAAAACCTGCGCATCAACGTTGAAACGCCAGGTGGCCGTGGTTGGTTGGCCGGCAACACAAAGCCCCAGCCTTCGCCTTTGATGAAGCGCACAGGGTGGCCCAGCCACGCAAGCCTGAGCAAATACGGCGTGACCATGGTTCGCGATGTGAGCTTTTCCGGTCGATCGGAGCCCGTGGGACAGAGCGCCTTGTACCACTCGGGCATGCCCGCCAAGCGCTGCTTGCTCACTGGTCGCGAAGGCTCGGTGATTTCGCCCTTCTTGTTGCGCTTCTCCTTGGTCATGCGCTGGGGCTCGGCGTGCCAGTCGAGGTTGCGCAGCCACGGATCACTTTCGTACTTGGGCCGCCCTGTCGCAGGGTCGACCTGTGCTAGAGCCAGCGCCTCTGTTGCCATCTGCTGCAAACTCAGGTTGACAAGACCCGAGCTCTCGCTGTACATGGCCTGGCCCTGCGCAATAAAGTTGTACCACGTCGCGTCGATCGGCAGGTAGCAGCTGCCCATTTCCAGCATGCCTGCAAAACTGACGGGGTTTGGACACTTGTGCATGTACGCGGGCAGGAGCTTGGCGTACAGACGGTAGGTGCTCCGAACGTCGTTGGCGCAGTAGGCCATCAGGAGCTCAAAGTTATCCGCCACGTCCTGCAACGAGCCATTCACGAAAATGTCGCGCGCGTCCTTGGAGACCTCCTCGCCCAGATAGAACTGGCACAAGTCCTTGAGCGAGCCCGAATCAGCCAGATCATTCGTCGGTAGGGTCGTTCGCTTGGGAAACGGCGAGTTGGCGCGCTCGCGACGCTCGCCAGTGACGCACATGTGCAGGCTGGCCGTGTCCACAAAACGAAGCCCACTGTCGCGAATAAAGTACTCGTCGAGAATGCGCGCGCGATCGTAGCTGACGCGATGGCCAACCACGAGGCGTGGCGGGCCCGTCACCGTTTCGACACTGTTCAGATCAATTTGCCGGGGGTTGTTGCTTCCTTCAGTTGGTGCCGCCGAGCTGCTCGCGTCGCGGTCATCGGGCCGAACGACGTTTCGAACATTGCCAAAAGGGATGAGTATCTTCGGATTGGGCGTGGTGCTGTTGGCAGTCCCGTCCAACCACGGGAGGAACTGTGGCGACACCCAAGTGTACCACGCATTCACCGACACGGCGGCGGCCATGATGGGGTACGGACCAGCTTGGACACAGTTTTCAATGTCAAACGTGAGCGCGGTCTCGGACAAGTCCGGGTAGGGCACCTGCGTGACCACGCCGTCGCGACCGATTCGCGTCCAGCCTGCCGCGCGCGACCAGCGAGTGGGCATGGGCGGTATTGCCTGCTCTATCGGCACCATATCGTCGGTGCTCGATCCTGGCACATGTCGCGCAAACGGCAACCGCGGCATGCGTGATGGTTGATGGTTGTTGTCGTTTTCGAACGGGGCAATCACCGCGTCGGGTTCCTGCACCTCCTGCGGCCACGCTCGCCACGCGTCGACTGTCGGAGAGGGCTGATACGCGGCTGATGCATAGTCGATCGCATACTGCTGATACGGCGCGGCCGTCTCGGCGCCCACTTTGCGAAAGTGCTCCTCGATCGTGTCGCCTTGCAATGGCGGGAGTTCCCAGTCAATCTCTGGCATCACGTCGGCCACCTTGTCTGCCAGTCCGTGCTGCTTGAGGTGTGCGCGCGCCTCGGCCAGCCATGTCACCTGGGGTGTCTGCGTCCCGAACACGGTCTCGTGGAGCGGCCTGGACAGCATCTGCAGGTTGAGCTCGTTGGAGCGTGCGAGCGGACTACTACTCGAGAGGGATGGCTTGGCTTGGGCGACTGTTGGCGGCGATTGGCTCGGACTCGCGTTGGTACTGGTGTTAGTGGTAGTGCTAGTGGTTGTAGTGTTTGTAGTGGCAGCAGCAGACGCGGCACCACGGCGCGGGTTGGCTTGGATGTTGAGATTGCCAAGACACGAGGCGGCGATCGTCAGCAATGGTTGCGGCTTGGTCTTGGCCACTTGCATCTGTTGCTGATGATGATGAGGATGATGATGATGCATCAGACGCTGCTGTGCAACCAGACACGACGAGCGAACGGACTGCACTCGTTGCGTTCGCGAGACGAGCATGAACGCAGCACTCAGCATTTGGAAAAAGGTTGGCGCCCAAAACTTCTAAGACAGACAATGCCGAACTATGGAAATCAAAAAGAAAAAGAGTGACTTTTGAACAATGACCTGCATTTGACATTGTTACAGGAGCCTTGTTTCACACCAACCTGAGCTGTCCGAGATCCTGAGTTTCGTTCGCATTTCCCCCAAATCCGGTGACAGTCTATTCAATTTTTTTTCTTTGTGTTTATTCATTCTTATTATTATTTCCCCTTCTTCTTTTGACTCCGCGATGGCGGGACAACAGCATCTGCGCAAACTCGTGCAGCGGCAGGTGAGTGCACTGGAGCCCTCTTCCTCCGCCCTCTTCCTCCGCTCTCCTTCCACCACTTTGCTCTTCTATTCCCAAATGTCTCCCCAATAGCACACTTGCTCATGTGCAGAGACGAGCGAGCGTCTGAACATCGAGGACAAATTTGAGAAGCACATGAGCTGGTCCGCTTTGCCTCACCATTGCGCTTGCTGAACTGCTGCCACTGCTTGATGTTGCACTGAACTGACTCTATCTCTTTCTTTGCTTTTGATGCCTTTTGGGGGTGGTGGTTCGTGGTGGTTGACTGCAGGTCTACTCGTGCCTGTCCGCGCGCTATGGCGTCGTGCTCGTCCTCGTCTCGCTCGTCATGCTCGTCGTCTCGGCGCTCCACTTTGGCGAGGTCAGTCTCTCTCAACCGATGCAGAATCTCAAACAGGAACTTGCTTTTGGCTTGCGTTTGCCCCGATGGCGACATCCGGCTTCAATGGAGCGACTCTACAGCAATGGCTGAGTTGGCAATCATGTGAACCAACCCCCCCCCTCCTTGTCTCACACGCAACCAAATCGACTCGACGGCATGGATGCTCAAACTCATCATGCTGCTTTACTCACTTTTTGATGCTTGTTCGTGCAGAGCTGGATGGAGTGGAGCACGGCCAAGTACGAGGAGCGATTCTCGGCCTTCACAGACAACTTGGCGGGCCGATCGTTCCAGGCCAGACTGTGCTCGCCAATGCCGATCGATATTGTATACACATGGGTCAACGGAAGCGACGAAAAGCTCATTGCTGATCTCAAGCGCGTCAAGGCTGCGCTGGCTGCCGGAGCTCATCCCGATCGCGCCCTCTCTGCTGCTGCTGCCAACGGCACGCTGCTGGCTAGCACCGACGCAAACGGCAGTCAGGTTCTGGTAGACGGTGCGAGCGTGGATGGCAGCTTTGGCTCGGTCTCGATCGCTCCGGCCGTGGCCGAGTCGCACGCTCTCAACCGCCGCTTGCACGAAGCCAAGCTCGCCACGTCAATACTCGCCGCCACTCCGTCATCATCTTTGAACGCGTCTGAGACCTCGCCGGCGTCGTCAATACACGGCATGAATGCCACTGTATCTGGTTCTCCTGCCGCATCGAATGCCTCCGTCGTCACCGAAAGCGAAGAAGCGTCTGCGAGTCGATTCCAAGGTAAGGGTGTTTTTGCGCGAGTTTTTTCTTTCTTTCTTTCTTCTTTGTTCGCCATTGTTGCACCATCCGAGTCGTGCTGATTGCTGAGCTGCTGTGATGCCTTCACTCTTGCCCCTTTGCGCCATATATGCGCTGAATGCCACAGACAACGAAGAACTCCGATTCTCTTTGCGATCGCTCGAAACCCACGCGCCTTGGGTCAGAAATGTCTACGTGGTCACCAACGGCCAGATTCCAAACTGGCTGAACTTGGACCATCCTCGCATGCACCTCATCACACACGAGGACATTTTCGTGAACAAGACACACCTTCCCACCTTCAGCTCTCCCGCGATCGAGAGCCACATTCATCGCATTCCGGGCTTGTCTGACAAGTTCATCTATCTCAACGACGATGTCATGTTTGGCAGCGATGTGTGGCCGGACGACTTTTACACGCACGCCAACGGCCAAAAGGTCTACCTCTCGTGGGCCGTTCCCAACTGCAACGAAGGGTGCCCCTCGAGTTGGTTGGGCGACAAGTACTGCGACGCTGCGTGCAACGTCAGCTCCTGCGATTGGGACAATGGAGATTGCACGAACGTGACAACAGCGCAGAACAGCCGATTTGGCAGCTGGACGGGTAGCACCACCTCCGCCAGCGCCACCACATTCTGCGCGCCTGGATGTCCCGACACCTGGATTGGAGATCGATACTGCGACAATCCCTGCAAGAACCTGGCCTGCGGCTTTGATGGCGGCGACTGTGGATTGCAAGTCATTCAAGACGAGGTTTTGAGCTACAACCTAACCGAGCAGGTTTGTACCATTCGGTGACACTGTGTTTTTTGTGTGTGTGTTTTTCCAAGTCGAAACATGTAAGACTCACTGCTCGTGCTGTTTTGCCACGGATGGATAGGTGAATTATATTGTGGTCGAGCCAAACACCCCCGCCATCTTTATCAACCTTCGATCACACTTTGGCGATGCCAAAATCGTGGAAGGCTCGCACGACAATGGCGTGGCTGTACGCACGGCCATCATCTCGCAAAAGTTCAAAATCATGAGCATCACCTTCCACCGCAACGTTTCAGCAGAGGTCACCAATGTCACGGTGGCTGCAGAAGTGAATGGCACCACCGTCGCCAAGCACTTTTTGCTGGCCACAGTCACCAATCCAGACCATTTGTCGCTGGCCCACGACTTGTTTGTCAACCTCACTATGTCTCCCCCGCCAATCTTGCCCCTCAATATGCTTCCAGCGAAGAACATTTCCACTGCGCAAGAAACCACTTCAACAAACCACACCACGCCTCTGAACGGCACTAGCGCTGCGACTCCAACATCTGCCTCCTCGCTCCTAGACCGCACGCCTTCCCCGAGCCCATCTGCAATAGCCGTCAAGGACGAGGACGACGAAATCCCTTTGAATTACTGGGAAATTGGCACTCCCTCGAGTTCCTCGTCGAATACGACCAACCCCACCTTTCAAGAAGTCGACTTGCTGATTGAACGGACCTTCCCGAATCTGGACCTTGCCGTAGTGTCGACAGACGTTTTGACGCTCATGCTTGAGACCCGCGAGAGTTATGTTCAAGGCGACCTGACCGAGCGCGGATTTATCAAACGCATGACAGCGCTGCTTTTGCTGCCCGATCATGTTGTCGACAAGCCAGCCACCCCTCTGGACGCGGGCGTAGACAGCTACGCGTTCGACAACAGCTCTACGGTTGCCGGTGGGCGCAAGCTGCAATGGCTCGACAGCGCCCAACTGGCAGTTGGCGCGCTTGCGGCTGCCGGCGTGGCTACATCCTCTCAATCTGACAGTGTGCTGCAACAAGCGCGAGCGGCTGTGCTAGAGCGCGCAAGGGCAACCGGATTGGGCCAAAAGCGAGCTCGCGAGACGCCCAATCACCGGCAGCAACAGGATGAACCCACTTTTGACGAGCGCTTTGTGGCTGACTGGATTGCAAACGCCAAGCAAAAGCAGCTCTCGCTCGCCGATGACCTGCAACAAAGTGTGCAGCAATGGGAGGCAGAGCACGGGAACCGTTTTGGCGACCGGGACGAGGTATTCTACCGAGGAAAATTCCCCTGGGAGAAGCAGCGCATGTTCCCGCTGGATTGGGAGAAGCATCTGTCGCCGGAAGAGTTGCTGCTGTTGGACGACGTGCATCTGGATGATCTCCAGCGAGCTGTTCGCCAGACACTTCGTCGCCAACAGTTGCACCAAGAAGGGCGTGCGACTGGGCGCAAGCTGCTGGACACGTTCGGAGACTCGCTCAAACACGTCAACAAGCTGTACAACAAAATGTTTGGCGCCATCCCGCGCAAGGTTCCCGCGCACATGCCGCACATGATTGACCGCCACATCATGACCGATCTGCAGGCAACGTGAGTTCATTTTCTCCCAAATGAATTTGGTTACCGCTTTTTTTGCTGTTTGTTCAAGTTGATTTTGTCTTTGCTGGTCGTCTCGTGACTTTTGTGCTGAATTTCAACGCTGTCTCTGGTTTTTGGTCGATAGGTTCCCCGAGGAATTCGACAAGACGTCTTCACACAAGCTCCGAGCTTCCGACGACATGCAGTATGGCTTTTCGTACTTTTACTACATGATGGGCGATCCTGAAGAATTCAATCTTGAGCGCATCTTTGGTGATTTCGACACCAATCACGACGGTGCTCTCAATGCCAACGAAGTTCGCAACCTCGCGGCGCGTATTTATGACCTGCCCATCACCGCAACCGTGATGGAGCAGCTGTTCGGCACATTGTACAATTGCAGCATGAACATTACACTTTTGGCAACCGAATCGGCACACACCAACGGCTCAGTGCCCGTGAGCAAAGCCCCACTTCCGGAAAGCACATCCGTCCCGGCAACGTCAGGGCCCGCTCTGAGTGTTGAAGAACGTGCAGAGGCGGCGCTGCGAGCCAAACGCGACGAGCGTGCTTCCGCCGAGGCTGCTTCCGCTGCGTCTGCCAGCACCGACGCCTCACCCTCAGCATCTCCCATCGCACCACCGCCCGCGGATGATCACACCTATCATCTGCATTTCCGGTCGGATGCACCCCCAATCACCGCCGCCGTACTGCAAATGTGCCCTCCAATTTTGCGCAAACTGCAGGATGCCAAGCGGTCGCACTACAAGTAAGAGACAATCTTGTCCTTTGAGGTTTCTGTGTCCTGACCAAGTAGATGACTGACCATTGTCGTCTGTCTTTTTGTCCTTTTGTCGCCATCCAGGTATGAAATTCTTGATGGCGAAGGCAAGGACGTCGCCTTCAAGATGATTCGTGACGATCTGACGCACGTCTACAAGCAGCTCGATTCGATTCGCAAGGCACGCAACAAGTTTGTCTGCCTCAACGATAACATTGATCACAGCAAGAACGACAGTTACAAGGCATGCTCTTAGAATTGCAATCGATGAAACTGGGCCTTGTGATTTTGTTTTGACTCGCTCTTTTCTCACTTGTACCGAGTCGGGACGTTGACTTTGGGGGCGCGTGATGATTCAGATTGTTGCTGCATTGCGCGACTTTTACGAGGGTCTCTTCCCGGTGCCATCGGCCTTTGAGCTGCCAGCAGGAACTCGAAACCGCTTTTTGCATGCCAGCGAACTTCGCGAATGGTAACGGCTTGCTGGCTGCTGCTACTGCTGCGTGTTTCGATGCGAATCGCGATGATAATGTACTTACCTTTGTATTGCGTTCGTTCCCATAGGCAACGTGCCATGACCTGGAGGAGAACATTGTATCACATGGCGCTGGGCGCGCTCATTGCCGTGGTAGGCGCGGTTCTCTTCCATTCTCGCGTTCGAAGAGCCTTCCAGGCAATGCGGCTTCGCTGGCAATGGTTCCGACGGGAGTCTCGTTCGCGCAAGCTGTTGAGTGTGTGAAAATACTGGTGGCATTTTATTTTTTGATCTTTTTTTTTTTTGTTTGTTTGTTTGTGGATTTCTTTTTCTTGTCATGGTGTTCTCGTGTTGATGTCCAAGTACACAATATCACATTGGTTTCAGATTTTGTTCATTGTATTTGGTTTCTATGTGATTTTCAGAGATGTCGACAAGGTGCAACATCAAGGCCCGCTCAATGAGTGTCTGCTTGGCAGTTGGTGAGGGGATCTACAACCGTGACCCTTCTCGCTTGTTCAAAGCGGTCTTTCACGGAGGGACTTCGAAGCAGCCGGTGCTTGCTTTGAATTCGTAGCAGTTTTTGTTGTGCTTTTACGCGGAACGTCTTTCGTAGAATGGCCACAATGCTCTTGAAAACACATCCCCAGGTGATTCTGTCGGTGCAACAAACATGGCAATCAGAAACACGGAAGCTCGATCCAACCGACTCAAAGAATCGAAACAAAAAACAAACGAAAAACGAAAAACGAAAGACCTCGCAATCTTACTTGTACAGCACCACGAGGAGATGCCCTTGGTCCCAACGGGGATTGCGCTCGGCAAAGAAACGAATGTCGGGGTTCTTGAGATCCTCTTCGGAAATCGGGGCTACGTCGGGTCGCAGCGCAGTGGTGGTGCGGTTGATAACGCCGGTGACGGGATCGTACACTTCTTGTCCAGTGGCAGTCTTGACGCCAAACGAGTCAATCAGGGACTGCTCCCAGGCAGGCGTCGGGACACCTGCCTGTGGCCAGACGCTTTCCGAGGAGCGTTTGGCCATGAGATAACTCTTCACGCTAAAGCACTTGAACACGCCATAGAGCGGCGTGAACGGGTGCCAGATGAGCTCCTTGATGAAAAAGTAAAAGAAGGCAAGGTAGATGAGAGGTCCGCCGCGGTTGGAGGCCTTGAACAGGGCAAGTCCGGTCTTGAACAGCGTGAAGGATTTGCCGTTGTAGCTCTGACCTCGTTCGCGATCAATCAAAAACATGCCGCGCAAGCTGCCGTCGACTTGGTCTCGGAAGATGATCACGTACAGGAAACTCAAGAGGTATCGGTGGAAGAGTTCAAGCTCGGATTCCGAGCGCACGTCGACCATGTCGTGCGCAAGAACCAGCAACTATTTTGGAGGGGACAGATTGAGGTGAAAATGACGCGCTGTGATCAACCAAAGCAAAAGCCGATACATGCCAACTTGAATGGTTTCTGTTACCTCATGCAAGGCCGCATCATCGAGTAATTCTATCAAAGTTGACAAGACATGCAAAAGTGCGCGGTTTGAGAATGGAAAAAAACACCGACCAAAATGCCAACCATCTGAGGTCACACGTTGCGCGCAAGACTCCGACGTACCCGTTCGAACACAATAGGCAAACAATGATCCGTAGACTGTCTTTTTGCTCGAACCGTTCTTGGCTGCAAAAAAAAGTCATCACGTTCATCCATCCAAATCGTAGAGAATGAAGGAATGAACAAGAAACAAAACAACGTGAATGAATGGGTTTGACCACACGTCACGTTGGGATTTGCACTCACCAATATGATGCAAGAGCTCCAGCTTGATGATGGGTCGCAGAATGTAGTACACGAGCGGCGCGACGAGGACAAACAGCATGATGGAGCTGAGCGGGATTGCAATTGCCAACTCGCCCAGACGCGTCCACAGCGCAGTCAGCGTCCAGACCAGTGTGCCAAACACCCCGTGAGCTGATGTGTCTGCGAGCATGGACGCGGACGAAGAAGAAGCAGATGCAGCGGACGGATCAAACCACGCCGAGACATCCTGCGGCGTAATCCCGAGCAGCGAGACGAACGACACGGGCGAGCTGGTTGTCAGATTGACCAGCGTCATTGCAACACTCAGCAAACAATGAATAAAAGGACTGAGAACAAAAAAGTATGGCATTTTTGTATTTGAAGACATGGAGGGAAGAAGAAGGAGGGGAAAGTTGGTTTCAATCCTGAATCTCAATTTTGACGGCAACAAAAAAACAGGGGCAATCCTGAAAGCATTCACGATGGAGGTGGCAGGCTCCACTTGTTCGTTGTTAGCAACGCATGGCAGTTGAGACAAACTCGCGATGGCGTATTCTTGCCAATTCTCGGAACAACCAGCTCGAAATCCGAGCATAGACCGCAGAAGATTTGGCCGCATTCCCTGAAATCCCCCCAAAAAGTATTCGAATACCGATGAGCAATCAATGTAGCAAAGAAAGGCAACCAAATCGTCTCAAATGTCTTCAAGACACCTCACATCTCAAAACAACACCCAAAACAACCAACACACGTACCGACAATGATGGCGCCGCTTTGTTAACGTAAAAGCACAGTGACAGTGCCGACACGAAGTCACCATTTCGTCCGGCACCCATAGAACGGAGGGAAGAGAAGTGGTAGAGGATGAGGTGGTGCTCGAGCCCGACAGCAAACGCCGCAATGGACCCAGGCTGTTTGGTCGGAGGGCCTTCTTGGCTGCGTCAACCTCGTGCTCCTCGTCTTCTTCAGGAAACTCAAAGCAGCCGCTGTTGCTATCCGAGTCATAGTGTGTTGTGGACGCGGCAGTCGACTCGTGGAGCGGATTGTCCACGATCTTTGCGAGCTCTTGGCCAACTCTGAGCAGCAGCAGCTCCATGTTTTCGGCCACAACAAGCTTGGCCTCGGCATGCAGCTCAGCCCGCTCTTTCGCGTATTGCCGCCACGCATCAAACCTTGGCTTGGCAAGCAAGCGCAATCGCATGGCGTTGGACTTGATTCGGCATGCCTCATACCAGCGTTCCGCCTCGAGACGAGCCTGCTTGTATTCTTGCTGTTCGGCTTGCCGAGCCGCGTCGCGCTTTGCCTGGCACTGGACGGCAAGCGCCGGGTTGCCTCGGAAAAATAGAGACTGCCACAAGGACAGCCTGTCGGTGGAAGGATCCAACACGACGGAGGAAAACTTGTAGCGCAAGTTGAGAATGTCCGTCTGCATGTCATCGCGAAACTCTGTCCAAACAGATCGCGTTTTGCTGGCCGTGTCGTGAAGCAGCCGCTCGCGATGGTTGTTGAACAAGAACGTCCCGAACATGCAAGAGGAGCAATGCTCGATGAGCCGGAGCAAAAAGTCCTCGCTAAACTCGAACGCCTGCGGAAACTGGACCATCAGTTGATAGATGCAATCGAGCCACTGCACAAAGATGGGCGAGCGTTCATGACGGTCTGACGCTGGCACCGAGTGTCCACACCGATCCGCAAACTTGTGTCCAAAGTGGAGCCAGTCCTTCTCGATGAGAATTCGGAAACCCTGTCACAGAAGGGAAGAGACGAAAACAAAAGAGCAAAACACAGCGCAGAAAGCCGAAACGGTTATAAAAATGTGCAGAAAGGTTGTTTAAACTGATGCCAGCCCCAGCACCGGCACCAAAACACTTGATGCTTACCTGAATCGTGCGGTAATACGGATCCATCATGATCTGAGCAAGCGTCACCAGCTGTGGCGTGCGGTCCCACCCGTCGCTGCAGTGCACATTGACGGACGTGGATTCGACTGTCATCTTGTTGACAATCGCCTTGGCCCCGACAAACAGGGCCAACATGAACTGCATCCACCGCGATTGTGCAAAAACCTGTGCCGACAAGCTGCTCTCTCTCGCGACATTGCAAGAGCTGTACAGTTCCAAGAAGCCATCTCGCACCTTGTGCATGTTGTCGATCGAAAAGAATTCAATCTTGCTAAACGGGTATTTGACTGGACAAGATGAAAATAGCGAAACAACATCAAGTCAGAGCTCAACGAACAGGCCCGCCGCATCATCTCAAAAAAAAAAAACCTCATCTTGCTTACGTTCAGATTCGTATCCGCCACCAAGAGTCTGATTGCCTAATGCACTGGCATAGGGCCGAGCGTCTACGATAAACAGGCGAGAGGACAGGGGCAACGGAGTGGTTGTCCCCTGAGGATCATGCGGAAGCTGCGGCGGGGCTGAAGAACCGCGACTGGCAAAGTTTGCATACGCGGCAAGCAGTTGCTCGTCTTCCAAGCAGCGCTTTCCGGTCAAGCCAACACCTGGCTGCGAGGAACGAACGAGCACCGTGCTGTTGGCGCGATTAATCCAGGTGATGACAGGCACGCGGCCCTTTTTGCGGAAATTCGCCACAGTGTTGAGCTGCGCATCGCTAAACTCGCGAGGGACCACAAGATGCGTCGGGTAGGTTGGGGCAAGAAGGAAGGAGCGGTTGGCGGTCGAAACACGCGTCAAAACGTTGCGCGTCAAGCCCAAGCGCGAAAATTCTCGGACCAGATCTTGAGCGGCGTGCTCCACATCCATCTCCACCGGCGCCAACTGCGACATGAGGATTGGCTGCGCGGATGTGGGAATGGGAAGGGCAGACTCTGTACTGGGATCACGCGCCGCGTCGGCACCAGCCACCAATGAAGTCAGGGAGCGCGAATTTTTGAGCGACCTGCGGTGCGGACTGGTGGACAAGTCCAACTCGCTATCGTCGCGAGATCCGTGCGCTGCAGAAGCGATAGCAATCGGGTGCGACGACGCGAGAAGCGATGACGGCGATGTCGGAGACGAGGCCGAGAAAGACGGATGCCGATGATGCTGTTCGGGACGATGAAAGCCTCCTTCGCCCGAAAAGCGACGCAGGGTGGCGGCGAGATCAAAGGCGCTCACCTCTTCGTAAGACGATGGGAGTGGCTGGTCCACATCACTCAAGTCAGCGTCGCGCAGCGGCCTGTTTATTGGTCGCGCGCCTGTCGATTCGTCTTCCAGCCGGTCTTCCGCCCGACCCGCGAGAAGAGACTTTGAGGCGGAGCTCGCCCACGAGAGTCCTCTCCACACAGCGTCCGAAATCTTGGAGGGAACACTGGATGGGTCGGAGCTGGCAGAGTGAGTGCGCGTCGCGATGCTGCGGTTTTGAACTCGTGTCAAAAGCGCGGTCGCCGATCCTCCACTGCCGGATTCAGTCGAGGAGCTGTGATGAATTTGCGGACTTTGCCGCTGTATCGGGCAGCTGTTTGGATCTGTGGTTGGAATCGCGAGCAGCCCGCCATGATTGTAGTTGTTGCCGTTGTTGTTGGTGACGGACGACAGGCAATCCGGCTCGCCAGAACTTGACTGGCGCGGCGGCGCTTCCTGTTCGTCCGCCAGCCTGCGGAAGGCAAAGAGGTCGGAGACGTTGTTGGGCTGGAGCATGAATTGGAGCTGTCGTTGAAACGAGGCGCAAGCGTCTGCCGTCGTGAAAGCCAAATGCACTTTTCGCAAATCCTTGCAGAAGATGTCGAGTCGCGTAGCATCGACGGGCGTGACCAACTCGACGAGCATGAGTGGAATCTTGAGAACGAGTGAGCGGTTGAACAAAGTAGCAATGTCAGTAAACAGTGAGCAGGCTCCAAGAATCACGCTCCAGCACGTCCTGTCAAAGCACAAGCAATTACATCTAATCGAGGAACAGGGGCCTGGCCAGCATTGCTCTGGCCTTGAACACAAATGCGGTAGTTTGTCAGAACGAGTTGTGCAGCTTCGTTCCAGCTCGACGATCCCGCCGTCCGAATGTGGCACCACTCAACTCCCAGCTTGCGCTCGCCAGGATGTCCGTCAAACTTGACATCTGCACCAAGAGTCAATTTCGCTCACAAAGTTTGTGATTTTCCACTGCTGACTTTTCACACGGAGAATTTCCAAAATTGTCAAACACAACGACAAACGTACCATCCAAAGCCAAGCTGGTGGTCGCATCGCCATCGACGCTCGTCCAGTCCTCCATGTCGAACTCGTCCTTGGACAGCTTTCGCCCTGTTGGAGGGCTTGACACGAACGATCTGCCCACGGGCATGGGGCTCGGATCATGGCTGCCATTTCCGCCTGCATTCCGACCCACAAGCGAAACGAGCGACTGGGTCGCAGTAGCACGCGGCAAGAGTGACTGGGACGGCAGATCGCCTTCATCTTGCTCCATCGTGTCAACAGTGACATTGCTAAGAATTCCGTCTCCAGGTGGACGGGCCTGCTCAGCAGTTGAGGCCTGCTTTGGCTTTTGCTGGGTGGAGGATCGGGATGAAAGTGATGACGATGATGGCGCAGCCTGCGGAGCTGGACTGGCCACACCGGCCGACCGCTTGCTGGCGACCAGCGCCGACGCATACGACAGCTCGCGTGTCGGCAGTTCGGTAGCCGACCGGGCGGGGGCGGCACTGCTGCTGCTGCTGCTGCTGCTGCTGGTACTGGTACTGGGAGTGAGCAGTTGAACGCCGGGCGCCGACGGGTCCTGCGACGACGACGGCTCTCCCGTGGGTGTTGCGCTACCAGCAGTCTCAAGAGTCGCTGTTGCTGTTAGTGGTGGTGCTGTTGTTGTTGTTGGTGGGGTGGTGGTGGCGATGGGTGTCGGAGTCGCCGTCCCTGGAGGAAGAGGAAGCAGAGGAGGACACTGCGCAATACGCTGCACAGCGTCATCATCACGAGCGCTGCTGCTGTTGTCCATGACTGCTGCGGCTGCTGCTGCTGTTGCGGCTGCTGGGTGGGATGATGATGTTGTGCTTGATGGTGGTGGTGGTGGTGGTGGGGGAACACAGAGCGAAGGGTCGTCCACGAGAGAGGGCAGCATCAGAGCGAGGGTCTCAGAGTCAAAGTTGGCGGGAAAAACAACCAACCTGAGCCTTTTTTAGAGCGGCCCATGTACTCTGCAATAGAGCGAAACTGGAGAGACCGCTGAACGGAACACGTCCCTTTCTCAATCCTCACAAACGTCGGGAGGCGCACGCAGAAGGCAAAGAAGGCAAAAGAGCAAAAGCAAAAGAGATCGAATCTTCCGGTTTTGGCTGTGTCTGGTTGTCTTTCACAACAAAAAAAGTAATGGACTGCGTTTGGTTGCTCCCTCATCTCAAAAGTACTGTGGTGGGCTGAACAAAGCATGTGGTAAATGTATTGTAGCTCCACGACCCCGAGCGAGCCGGGAACAAGGAGACGAAAACTAAAGTGGCAAATTCCAACGTTTTTTTGGTTTGCTTCAATGGAAATGCAATCCAGCCACAAGGTAAGCAGCGCTGGCTTGAAGAAGGCCAAACATGACCCACCCGTAGGGAGTATAGTGCAATAGCAACGCGATCGGAATGCCAAAACCGAGCGCCATCGCATCTTGCTGCAGTTGAGTCAACGCGGAGCGCTCGATGCGGGGTCGCGGATCACCAGAGCTGCGCGAGCGTTGCTGTGAAACTCGTTCGTGGTACGGTGCCAACAGCTCCCAAGAAATGGCACGAGCCAGAACACACACGTACAAGAAGCCCCAGCACAGCTCGCGAAGCGGGACAAACACACCCAAAAATGCAATCGTTAACCCGAGCCCTCGTCCAAGCACCAAGCCGACTGTCTTGTACTGGAGGAAGAACAGGATCGCTGGTCCAACATACGGCACCAGTGACAGCAGCAGTGCGGCGATGATTTTGAGCAGAAAAGCGATTTTCCTGTCAACACCGTTTGGCAAAAAACTGAGTTTGGCAAAAAAAAACAACACTCAACAATGCAACAACGTTCCACATGATGCAAATCAAACCTACTTGTCGATGAACCTGCGCAAGCTGAATGGGGGCCGCCTTTCCTCCCGAAGCGCAGCTTTCAATCCTGTCGGAACGATTTTGAGTGATTTTGATTCAACAAGCGCAATCACACAGCAATCACACAGCAAACCAACTTACGAGGGAAGTTATCCATGCCAATGAAAAAGAGATTGTCAAGGACATCCATGTAGCCATAGCTGTCCAGCGGTACAAGCAACACACACGCACACACACAATGTACGAGTGGATGTCAGTGCGCGGGTCATTGATGACAGCTCTCTGAGCCGTGCTATTTGCCTGTGCGCCCGTTTCACTCTATCTCACTCTCTCTCACTCTCTCTCACTCTTCACCCACCGTCTTACCGCATCACAAGCAGCAATCCGAACGGAACAAGCCGACAGAAGCTCAGAATCGTGGACGATGCCGATTCGAGCAGAAAGTTGAGGTCGAGGGAGAGGAGCGAGAGCAAAGTGATGACAATCCGGAACGGGATAATAAGCAAATGGAGCGCAACGAACAGCCCGACGGTCGTCAGCAGCATGACGAGGGCATAGCGGCGATGGACAATCCACAGTGGCTTGGAGGTCAACAGGAGGACGCTGCCGAGCAACGCAAACCAGGCGCCCTGAAGCATGAGCCGCAGCTGCAAGCTCACGACAACCTCGTTCTGAGGTGGCACGTCGTCGAGCAGCAAGTGCTCTTCCCTCAGCTGGACGTCCTCCGCTTCCAACGCAGCAAACAGATCGGCCAGCTCTTGATCGGATGCACCAGCCTGCGAGGCCGGTGGTGTCGGTGCGACGCGCTCCGGTGGTTCCGGAACAGGGCGACTTGGCGGGCTGAGCGACATTTTGCCAAGTTTGTCAACAGCGAAATCGAGACTGAGACTGCGGCAAGACAGGGTGCTCGAGCTGAGGACAAGGGTATCGATGAGAACGAAGAATCAAATGTGAAATTTACTCGTTTTGAAAGAAGACAAAATGACGGAAAAACACCCAACAAACACATTTTCAGAGGTTTTTACAAAAAACTGCCAACGCAGCCCGCACGTCCCAGCACTGGTCATTGGTTGGGTTTGTGAGAGAAACCCCAAGAACCTGGCTGGTTGCCTTGTTGGACAATTGGTGCGCACCATGGTTAAACACGCTCAACAAAGTTTGAGGGGAAGAGCCCAGTCTTGCCGTCAAGATCGCCTTGGTACCAGCCTTCAGCAACCTCAGTGACGTTCTCGATGGTAATGCCAGCATCAAAGGCAAGCTCGTCATCGCCACTGCACCAAAAACCGAAGAAAACAAAAAAAAAAGGTGAGTTTTCAACGAACTTATCTTCGGCAAATCCAGAACAATCGCAGCAAGGCAAAAAGGAAAAAAAAAAAAACACTCACCCTTCGTGGTAGTCGTAGAGGGTCGTGACAGTGAAGACGTCGCCAGTCGGCTCGGAGGACGCGACATCCTCGTACGCTTGCTCCTCGGCGGCGGGCTCTTCGTACTGCTCCTCAGCGGGGGCCTCGGCGGGTTCCTCGTATGCTTCGGCAGCGGGTTCCTCGTACGCCTCGGCAGCTGGCTCTTCATAGTGGGCCTCCTGATGAGAGGACTCGACGTCTTCGTACTCGGCGGGGGCCTCAGCGGCGGCAGCAGCCTCTGCAGCAGCAGCAGCCTCAGCAGCTGCGGCGGCCTCGGCGGCTTCAGCCTTCTGGCGAGCAGCGGCACGCTCAGCGTTGGCCTTCTGGGCGGCAGCCTTCTCTTCCTTCTCGCGCTCCTGGCGGGCCTTGCGCTCAGCCTCAATCTTGGCCTGTGAGTCGTCGGTACCGGCGGAAGCAAGGTTCTGGAACTTGCTGCGAGCCGAAGCGGCACCGCTCGATGGCGCTGCTACCTGTGGCTTGCCGGCAACAGCCGGCTTTTCCTTCTCTGGCTCATCCCAGCCCTTGGCGCTGGCATCCTTGCGATCGCTTTGAACGCCGTACTTGCTAGCAAGATGGAATGGATTGAAAAGAGGGGTCAAAAAGAGGGTTGATGAGAGGAGAGAGAAGAAGAGGAGCAGGAGGACGTAAGCGACAAAGTTCAACAGGCTAAAAGGAAAACGTGTCCATTGAACACTGCAAGCAAATGGCTCAACCTACCCGCCAAAGCCCTTGGAGAAGTCCTTGGTCGACTCGTGCGCCTCAGTCTTGCCAGCGTACGACCAGTCTTCTGCGCTCTTGTCCTTGCGATCGTTCTGAACGCCGTACTTGCTGCGAAAAGCGGAGCATTAAAAAAAATTGAATTTAGTTGGTGAGTGCTTTGATGAGAGGGATGAAGGAGGTGTCCGAGACTGGCAACAAACAACAAACATACCCGCCAAAGCCCTTGGAAAAGTCCTTGGTCGACTCGTGCGCCTCCGTCTTGCCTTCGTACGACCAGTCCTGGGCGCTCTTGTCCTTGCGGTCGCTCTGGACACCGTACTTGCTGTCAAATGGCAACAAGAAAGGTCGATAGCAAGATGAGACATGGGGATCTCGTGCGTTTCAAATCGGCTCGCAAAAAACAAAAAACCACCACAAAGCTCCAAATCGTACCCGCCGAAACCCTTGGCAAAGTCGGTGGTCGACTGGTGAGCCTCGGTCTTGCCCTCGTAAGACCAGTCCTGGGCGCTCTTGTCCTTGCGGTCGTTCTGGACACCGAACTTGCCTGATTGGACGAAAAAAAAATCAACTCAAAGTGAAAGATCAAGCATTTTGCATCCCACTTCAATCGGCATGTGCACTCACCGCCGTAGCCAGCAGCAAAGTTGGGGACGACAGCCTTCTTCTTTTCCTCGTGCGACTTTGCAGTAGTCTCACGCATGGCAGCCAAGTCGACGGGCGCGGACGCCTTGCCAGAGCCCTGAACGGACTTTGAGCCCCATCGCTGCTCCTTCTCCGAGACGTCGTTCTGGAGACGATCAACATATTCAAAGGCAAAAGCGCCAGAGCAAAAACAGCGGGTGGTGAGGTCAACGCAATTCAACCAGAAAACGAACAGCAAAGGAGGAGGACGGTGAACAACCGTAACGGTTTGAATTGCACCAGCCTCAAACAATTTGGCTACCAAAAGTTCACCATCAAACCTACACTTTTATTATTTTTATTTTTTTATTATTTATTATTTTTTTTTATTGATTTTTTTATTTATTTTTTTTTTTTAATGTTTGAGCCAGAATCTGCTCGCGACGGCAGCTGAGACCAGCGGGGGCGGGGGTTGCCTGAGCATTCGCGATTCATGCCTTTCACAAAACCACCGCCTTTCAAAACGATCGCTCAAACAAAAACAAAGCGATGGAACGATTCACAAAAAAAAAAAAAAAAAAAAAAAAAAAGTTTCCTCATATGATAAAAGAATAATAATAAATAAATAATAAATAAAACAAGTAAAAATTTTCAGTTTGTGAAAGTGGGTGAAAAAAATCGCATTTGCTTGTCAAACGTTGGTTGAGCGACAAGAGTGAAGCGAGGATGATGACACACGAGAGTGCGTTGCGAAAAAAAAGGGGGGGGGGAACAAGCGAGGGGAATGATGGAGGAGAAACGGAAACGGAAAACGGGAACGAGAAGGGGATTTTGAAAGCTCACAACAACCACAGTGTCCCCTATGCTAGCTGCTGCTGCCCATCCCTCACTACACTACACAGTGGATCACACACACTGCTGGCAGTGCGAATGCAGAGCACGCGTCGGTGCTGCATTGCAGATTCGACTGTTTCAATCCCCTTTGGTCACTCTCATTCTCGCTCTCGCTTCACACTGCTGCTACTGCTGCAACTGGTGACTGCTGACTGCTGACTGCAATGCTCACCACAAAGTCAGAGTCCGTCTCCCAGGCCTCTTCCTCGGGCATATCGACCTTGAGATCGTGTCCAGTCGTCGACTTCCACATTGCAATGCTACTTGAGTTGGTTTTTCACAAAAAAAAAAAAAAACAAGAGTGAACTTTTCTTGTTCCAAGTTCAACTCTTAACTCTTGAACAAAGCGAGCATGCATTTTGTTACCATGTTCGCGAACAAAAGTTGAAGAATGGTTTTGTTTGTTGTTGTTGTTTCCTGATTGTTTTTTTTTTTTTTTTTTGCACTTTGGCTCAGTCTGAGTTCTTTTGCCTTGGTTTTGTTGTGAGAACTCAGGAACAACGGCACATGACTGTCTGGTGTTATTCCGAGCCGCAGTCACGCTCTGCGTGCACCCGGGCGCCATCGCCAGCAACCCCAGCACGGCACCACCAGATGACGATGAAGAAGCAGACGAGCACCATGCCGATGCCGGTGCCGACACTGGCGCTGCTGCTGCTGCTGCTGCTGCTGCTGCTGGCTGTGCAGATTGCTAATGCTGCTCAATCGCCGCCGCTCCTCACTCCGACTGCGACTGCGACGCCACCCAGGATCGCCATCGTCGGCGCTGGCATCGGCGGAGGCGCCACGGCGTACTATCTGGCAACCAAGCACGGCCTCGCAAACACGACGGTCGTCTTTGACTCGCGTGACTACATTGGCGGACGGCTCAAGCACACCATCATCGACAACCAGGTCATCGAGCTCGGTGGCGATGCATACGCGTCGCCCAACATCTACATGGAGGAGCTGGTCAAGGAGCTCAACTTGCCAATCTCACTGCGTCGCGGCAGCGGTGGTGCAGCTGCTGCTGGCCGTCACAGTGAGTCGCTGGACGAGAACGACAACGGCGTCAGCACCCCGATTGACAACCTCGTTGCCAAACTCAAGGTGCGGCTGATTGAGCTGCAGGCCAGAGCGCAAAAGGCCGGATCGGGTGTCCAGGGCGTTTCGGGCGACAACATTGGCATTTGGACGGGAACGGGCTGGATTCCGCTCACACTCACGCTGCTCGACCACTTGCTCTCCGACACGGGCACGCTCGAATCCCTTGCGGGCTTCCTGATTCGTCTGCGCGAAAACTACGTCCTTCGCGATGACTTGACCACGCCCTTCAAGACCGTTGACGCGTTCTTGCGCTTTGGCGACCTCGAGATGTACACCAACACCACCGCAGACACCTTCTTTGATGGCCATGGCGTCGCAAAGGCCACACAGCAAGACCTCATCAACCCGGTGCTGCGCGTCATTTACGACCAGTCGCTGGACGAGTCGCACGCCTTTGGCGCCCTCGTCTCGCTCACTTCCCTCATTGACGCGTACTCGATCGCGACCGGCAACAGCAAGCTGGTCGAGGCGCTCTTTGCTGCTGCTGGCTCGCAAGTCTCCCTGCAGTCGCGAGTCGTGTCGATTGCCTACCACCGTGACACCAAGAACTGGAATCTGACGTACGTGTCCACAGCGAGCCAGGACCCCGAGGCAGACCAGCAGCACATCATTGTCGATCGTGTCGTGATTGCCTCGCCGCTCGAGTACACCTCCATTCTCTTTATCAACACTTCGCTGTCCGTCACCCCTCGCCAGTTTGTGCATTGGTACGTGACCATCATTGTCGCCAAGAGCGTCAACCCGGCGTACTTTAACGAGCAGCCGTCGTTCGTGGTGCCCGAAGCGGTGCTCACCACCCAGCCGAAGAGCGGGAACGCGACCGTCTTCAATGTTGTGCAGTACATTGCCGATGCCGACAATGGCTACCACATTTACAAGATCTTTTCGAATGACTGGGTCAACAGCACGTTGCCAGAGCTCTTTGTTGACATTCGCGAGTATGACGTCCAAGTTTGGCCGTACACTTTCCCCGAGCTCGTTGCAACCACCAAGTTCCAGCCCATCGAGCTCTCGCCCGATCTGTTCTACTTGAACACGATGGAAAGCATTGCGTCGGCCATGGAGGTTTCAGTCATTGCTGGCCGCAATGTCGCCGCTCTCGTTGCCAAAAGTGTGGCGTGATTCGTGCGGTGGTTGGATGATTCTTTAAGGGTGTATTGTGTTTTTTTTGTAGTCATGACTTGAATGAAGATTTGTACAATTGTGACATCTTGCTGCCGGTTTTGATGGATTTGGATCGAGATCAAGAACAGAATACACAACTCAAACAAAAAGGATGCGAGTGATACCTTCCCCGGCCCCCCCCCCGCCCCGCACCTCCCTCATGAAATTGGTGCAGCAAGCCCTTGAACATCCTTCGACAGAACGCACACCGACCCTTGATTCGACCTCCTTCTCACTCAGTCTTTTTGAGCAAGTTCTTGTTCATGCGAATTCAAGTCGGAGCAGCGCCTGGAGCGCAACCACCGGCGAACAGCGTGATCCGATCGCTTCGCAAGGCTCAAGTGCTGGGCCTGCTGCTTGTGCTTGGCTTTGTGTGTGCGTTGACGCTGATCATGCTGCTGGACGCGGCGCCCGACCAGCAGCAGTTCTCGGTGGACGACGACCCTTGGGACGAGCTCGCGATCGAGCAGAACGGCATTGACGATGCCACCATGGAGGAGATGCTGCGCCAGGACATTGGTGTAATGCACGTCAAGAACGTTCGGCGGCGCAAGGACGGCGGGGCAGCGGCGCGAGGAGGCGGTGGCGCGAAGGCTGCTCCTCTGGGAGACGCCGAGCGAGTGCCCCTTGCGCCAGTGCCGCCCGAGGCGCGTGGCCACATCGATGCTGATGGCGGCAGCGGTGCGGGTGGCGATGGGCGGCAGGCGGGCTCGGGCCGCGGGGCTGCGCGGAAGCAGCTCATGGGAATTGGGCGTCAGCGTGGCAGTGGCTCGGGCAGCGCCAAGAAGCGCAAGCCACAGCCACCACTGGATGCACTGGGCAATCAGGAGCAAGCTCAAGATGTGCCGTTGAAGCGTGGCGGAGACGGACGAGAGAATTTTGGCAATGGTGCCGAGGAGCTTCGCGAGCAGCGCATGCAGCAGATTGCCGAGAGTGAACGCCGCGCTCTTCGTCGGCGCAATGGCGAGCAAGGCCAGGGTGACGAGCAAGTCCCGATTGACCCGTTAGCGCACGATCCATCCCAAGGGCAGGTTGCGGAGCCCGACGTCAAGGCAAATCCCAATGCAGATCGCCGCCTTGCTCCCTTCGATGCGAACGCAATTCCCCCTGCCAACCCGCCGCCTCAGCAGCCAGCTGCGCGCGCACGCGTCAAGAAGGATGTCGTCAACTGGTCAGACCGCAAGACTGGGCATGCATCCATGCACCACTCGGACAAGCGCCAGTACGAGCTCGTCATTGGCATTACGAACGGTGCTCGCCAGCAGCCAACGCTGCCCGACACTCTGGAGTCCCTGATGCCCTGGATTGATCCCACGCGTCACAAGGTGATTGTCTGGCGCTCGTTTTCCACGCTTGGAGATGGTCTCAATGAGTTTCTCGAAAGCAAGTACCCCAGCGTCGAAGTGCTCCAAGCCAGTCGGGAGTACCTCGAGCTCAATCCGAGCAGTCTCAAACTCACACACAACGATACACTGGATCGCGTCCAGTGGCGCTCTGGACATGTGCTAGACTATGCCAACCTGGTGCGGGCATGCCGATCGTACAAGTCAGACTATGTGCTCATCTTGGAGGACGACATTGAGGTGTCGAAAAACTTTTTGACGCGGTTTAACAGCTGGTTTACGCGGAATAACTTTGCCAACCGGCCGGACTGGGCCGTCATTACCTTGTACAGCGACCATCTGCCCGAGCAGGGCGTCGATTTCGGTCAAACGCCCCTGCACGAATGCCAATGCGGTGCCGTTGCGCTGTTTTATCGAGCCAACACGTTGGCCCAGTACGAAACCATGCTACGGCGCGACTACTTTGAAGACCCTGTCGACTTTTTGTTTATCATTCACTACCAGTACGAGCAAAAACTCAAAATCTACGAGCACATGCCCAGCTTGGTCCAGCATGTGGGCCGGCTCTCCACCCTCCTCACGAGCCTGTCCTTGTCGCCAGAGCAACGGCAAGAGCAAATCAAGATTCGCTCCCGATGGCGGAGTCGCACCTACGTCTACGACGAAGAAGCAGCCCAGGCGCTCAAGCGAACCCCGTTCCGCTCAAAAGATGGCTACATTGGGTGCTATGCCGACGACATGACACGGCGAGATCTTTTGGGCAGCATTGCCATCGGCGAAGGGCATACTCCGAGCACCTGTCGCAAGGTTTGCGGCGGCTTTCCCTTCATGGGGCTGCAAGGCGGCGGCGACTGCTTCTGCGGCACCGAATTTGGCCGGTATGGTCAGTTGCCAGAGCGCGACTGTGACAACAAGTGTGACCGAGACCCGCTCCTGTCGTGTGGTGGGCTAATGCGAAACTCTGTGTATCGAGTTTAGTGCATGTGTATGTATGTGAATGAGGACGCATGAGTGCAAAGGACCAACGGCCTTTGCTTTCCCCCCCCCCTCTCTTTGGTGTGTGTGCGAGTGTGTGTGTGTGTGTGTGTGTGTCTTATGGTGTATCATTAAGCAATCGTATCTCTTCTTTACAAAGCGAATCATGCTAAAATTACTTGTTCATTGGCACAAAAACAAAAGGTGAGGCAAACATTGCCACAGAGAAGTAAACAATCAGGTAGAAGGTGCAACAAACAGTCATGCAACAGAAACACGCACAAGAGAAAACAT